CGGCGCGACCCAGCTCGGCGCGACCCACCTCGGCGCGGCCCAGCTCGGCGCGGCCGCTGCGGCACCGGCCTGCCAGCGCAGCGACGAGCATGCCAGGGCCACCTGAGCTGCCGCAGAGGCCAGCCAGTGCACCAGCCAGGCAAGTGAAAGCCCATGGGCGACGGTACAAGGTGACACGACCGAAGCACAGCATGCTGGCAAGATTTTTGGGGCAGTTTTTTCCTCCAAATGGTTGGGGTCCATCCATCTCTTATTTTGTTAAAAGGAACCAAGTTTGCACTCAGTAAGTTACTCAGTCTTAAAGTTGGCCAAAGAATCGAGCCTGATGCAGTTGCTGGTGCAGTTGATTAGGACTGATCCAGAGGGAGTTGCGCCAGACCGGGAAGCCTCCGTCTCGCATCAAACGAGCCTGGAGAGTGGCTCGGTGAGGATCGACGATTGGAAGGACAAGTGCACCCCAAATGGTGATTTGGGTTGGGGTAGATGGTGTGAGTGTATTTTGTTGGCTGTTGGTGCTCTTCTCCACCTGAACAAGATGGTGGCAAGCCCCTGCAATGATCCTAATTGATGGCGGAAAGACAGAACGACGAAAAAACGGATTTGGAAGGCTCTTTTCCACACCTTCTTCACGGCTCGCGAGCGAGCATCGCTGGGTGCGTCGTCCTGGACATTTTCCTTTGAAAAGGTCGACAGGTATTTTTTTTGGCCCACAGGTGCAACGTGTTGCAACTATGTTATTGAAAGATTATACACACATGAAGACATTTTCCTTTGATGGCGTTGATGATCATCATCTCTGACCCCTTTTGATCTTCTTCATCCACAAGCATCGCCCAGTTCTTTGGCCAATACCCCCAAAGCACCCGTCACCCGTCGTATACCACGCTGCGCGTGGGAAAACCCTGCCAGTCTCGCCCAGGTTTGGCCAGTCGGAATCAAAGCAAAGTAACCATCTACACAGATCATGGCAGCAGCGACAGTGAAGGGGAAGGACCTACGGCTGAAACCTCTTATGTCCAGCCACTCGGTGCAAAGAGCGATGGATGTGGGGTTTGAGACTATACCTGTCAGGTGAGGGTCTCTGGGATGTGATGTCATCTAGTATGACAGAGTTGTCGAGGGCGAACGAAGTGAGTATAGGGGGCGGCCTGGCCCGTGAACCCAGAGCCTGATGAGGGAGAGCGCAAAAAGAGGCGGCGCGGAAAGTATTAAACATGTATGGCTTTGGTGGTCTGGTGATGCGAGTGATGCAATTGACAACACAGAGTGCATCATTAGCAGCACGAAGGGCTCAGGAGACTATTTGGAGAGTCTTTCGACAAGGGGTGGGAGTTTGGGAAGGGGACAGGAAAGGGGGGACTACGTGACAGGAAGTGCAAGTCATCCCACACTGAGGGAGATGACAGGCCAGGTGCGTCCATCCAGTTGGAGGACTGAAGCAGCGAGACTTGCACAATCCAGAATCGGAATGGAGCAAGGTTTTTCCCTGTCTTCTCGTCAGAGCACGGTTCTTGCTCAAAGCTTAAGTTCGTAACGGCGCAACGACACCGAAGACAACAATACCCCGATTTCTTGACACGTTGGTCACTTGCTGTGGACCAGCTCGAGCATATTTTATTAGAAAGCCACTCCAAAACAAAGACAAAGGGCAAGAACACCATGTGCAGACGTCGCCGGCAGGATCTGTTGTCGCGCAACACCGGACTTGAGGCCAGAGCCAGGCTCCTGGTCATTTGCTGCAGTAAGCTTTTAGACTACGCAACTCTTAGCAGCGCGCCGAGTTTATGAGTCCAGGTACAAGACAGGAGAAGCCAATGTTCTTTTTCATCTTAGAAACGCCCCTATAAGCCAAAAGAAGAAGGCCCCCCTTATCCCCCTGAATTGTAAATATCCTGCTCAAATCCAACCTTTCCCCACTTCTGTTCTACAGCCGCTAACAGTGAGCCGGCCTTGATCAAAACCTTATATATATATATAGTGTCGTATCGACCCTCAATGCGAGACTTTGCGCCTCTCTGCTTTCTACTTCCCCGTGCTCAACGGCAGTAGGAATCAAGTGCAATGTCGACTTCACCCTACAACAACATAGTAATCTTTGCTGGAAACTAGGCAATCACCTGACCTAGGCAGTACGCTTTAGGCTACAGCACGCCGAGTTTATGAATCCAGCTACAAGACAGGAGAAACAAACAGCAGGCAAGCGCCCCTCAGTTACTTAGGGTGCCCTTTTTCATAAGCCGCCCCAAAGCCAAAAGAAAAAGGACCCCCCCGACCTGTGAATGTCCTGTTCAATTCAACCTTTTTCCTGCCGGACTGTAAATGTCCTGCTCAATTCCAACGCATGGGCTCCACTTCTCTATCCTACTACCGCCAATGGGCCTTGATCAAAACCGTGTGTATAAAGAGCTTGTCATATCGGCCCTCAATGCAAGACTTTCCGCCTCTCTGCCTTTTATTTTTCATGCTGTCGAATTCACCCCATAACCACATTTATGTCTTCTTACGGAGGCTGGCTTTCGTCTCCTCCTTTCTCAGGCTTGAAAGCACTTCAACACACATGCCAGCATCTATTGTATGCCAGGGAGTATGTCAGATATGGCCAGATCATTTGTCAGGATTCCTTTGTCACTATTGTTTTCTTCCACATCATCTTGCAGGGATTGCTCGAAGCGAACTTTTTTCAGGGGTAAGTAGTCTTGTAGCTGGTTCTGTGGTTGTTGCTGCACGTTCAAAGAACATCCAAGAACGGACAGTGTTTTTTTTAGTAAGTAGTAGCAAGGACACAGCAGAAGCCAGCCATTATACGAAACGGTTTCAAGATGTTTCTACTGGTGCAATCGCAGTAGTGCTGGGGCAGCCCAGTAGCTCTCGCGCCACACCAACGCCCCCGAGGGAGCCTTTTGGTTCTGGCTAAACCAGAAGAGGACTAACCCTCAGTTTGTTTGTTTTATGCAGTTTTATGTTGTATTTTTTGTTCGGTTTCAAGGTTTCTGATCGTTGGTTTAGATCGGTGACAGATGTGTCCAAAGTTCCACCGCTAATTAATTTGGCCACAGGAAAAACATGGCTTGGTCTCTGTCTCAAACCTCCACAGCGGTGCATCAAGTGTTGAACCCAGGAACGATTTGAGAAGCTATGAACCGATTTGTGCGAAGATGTCCCCAGAATCGTTTGCGTTCTCTGCAGCGGTTTGCAAGAAATACCTTGAAACCTCTAAACTTAAAAAAACAGTTAATTTGCCTAGGCTTAGAACTCCCACCAAAAGACAACCGGGCACACCGAGTTCATAATGTTGGATCCTGATTAGTAAAAGGGCGCCCCCCCCTCCCTCAAACAAATAGGGGACCCTCTATAATAAACTACCACCAAAACAAATCTGGATTCCTGTGAGGATTCCTTTTGTAATTGATTGTAGTATTCAGCTTCCTTTCTCAGGTGCAGGTGGACAGGTTCAGAAGGAATTCAAACCCTTATTAATTAGGTTTCCAATATAGAAAAGTTAGGGTCCCCCAAAAATTTAGCATTATTCAGGACCCATTTTTCAAACATGGGATCTGGAATAATTTTGGAAACATTTAGCATTATTGACGACCCATTTACTAATCAGCATCCAACATTAGGAGGCTTATCGATTGGGAGACTCCCCAATCGATGCCCTTTCTGGGAAACTGGGCCCTATATATTGTTTAACCCCTGGGAGTCAAAGACTATGCAAAGAATGGTCTGACTAGGTGACCCTTTACAAGGAATTTCCTTTACTTCAGTCGGTCACCAAATATAGTCTTTGGACTTCAGTCGGTCACATTATTTAACTATATGATATGTTCACATTGCGAGGTATGTCTCCGCTCGCTCCCGCGCTGACCCCTCGTCACGGCCAGCTGCTTGGACAGAAGGCCACAGCAAGACCCAGCTGTGTTGGTAGTTGATGATTGCCTTGTCTTGAAGGTTCAAGAGGAAGGTATATGTGCTGAGCCGGCATTTCATGGGTTTCAAGTGACCACTTTAGAAAGTGTAAGTGGTCTCTTCTTCATCTTTATTGGAAGACAACCTGGTGTGCCTGTTTGTTAGGATTCCAGTCTGGCTAAAAATTCAGAAGGCCGATCAAGGCACGTGCTGCAGAGGTTCCTGGGGTGGAGTATTTGAGACAAATCCCAGAATTGGAATTGCACCTGGAAACCCCACAAAGCACCTGGAATCCCAGAGTTGGGTATACCTGGAAACCCTACACTCAAACCCAACGAAACCCAACATCGGTTCGAAGCCTCGACCCAGGACACGGCGCTCCCCGAGGCGGATGAAGTGGTACAAGAGGAGTCTGAGAGTCAGGAGACGGGAAACTGGGAAAGCAGCGGAAGCAGCATGCGATGGTTGGTATGCGGAAATGTTTTTTGTTGTGCTGAAAGTAGATGGTTGGGAAAGCAAAGTGTCCTTCTCAGCCACGCATGACTCCCTTATGGCACGCAGCCTCTCATGGCACCGAAGATCCACGTTCCACGTTCCGCTGTTTCTCTTCCAGGATTGGGAGCTGCGCGGCGAGGGCGGTCTCGAGGAGAGCGTCTCCCGGTGGAGCTTCGCGAAGCTGGAGAGGAAGCCCGGAGGAGCTCCTTGGAGTGACGATGTGGGGCGCAGCGAGGGCGCGTCTTTCGCGTCCCTCAGAGTCCGGACGGACGGTCCGGTTCGATGGAGCAGCTTCTTCAGCTTCTTCAGCTGAAGCGGTGGGTCTTTGACCGGAGATGGTATCACCATGGTTTTGTTTCTTTTCGCGTCATATGGGGGGTGATTGGTATAAATCAACAGTCTACATGAGGTTCATACATCTGGAGCCCCAGTTGTAACCAGTCAGTCAACAAGGCGGACGCTTTTGCACATTTTACACCACAGAAATCCACAGAATCTACTGCAGTTGTAGGAGGGTGTTCGTCGAAGATGGCTCTTTGGAGAACAAACTACAGAACTTGGTGTAACAAATAATCTGATTCAGTCCCACTCTTTCCGTTGCTGTGACATACGACTATATGACTATATCATACTCTTTCCACTTCTTAAGGCAAAGCCGCAAACGCACGGTGCGCCCAGGTGAACCCACGCCGGTCGGTCTCACCCGGTCGTCTCGACGCGGTCGAAGCCGGTCCTTCGATTCGAAATCGGTGGGTGATGGGAGGTGAGAACGCCTATACCAGTCTACCACCCAACCTCCTGAGGTGGCTGGTTCTTTTGCTTCGAAAACACCGATTGGTTGATGACCTGTGCCGGAATCGAAAGCTCCCCTCGACACTTGCGCGATGAGCTCCCTGTCGGATTCACCGCGCTCCCACAGCTCGCTCCAACGCTCTCCATGTCCGAAGACAGATGAAAATGATTGAAAACGGATGATGGTTACCCGGTGCCCATCGGTGAAAGACACATAGGATACCCAAGGACCTGCCAAGAGCAACGTGACCATCGAAAAAGAGCTGCGTCACCGGCGGGTCCAAGGTCTTCGGTCCGGCCCGGAACGCGATCGTCGTGGCTGGATCGCCAGCAGCGGGTCCGACGGATCGCTCAAGGATCCCAAGATGGAAGTGACTTCCCGGAACGGAAGTGAACCTGATTGGCTTCAGACTTTGTTCAACTCATTATATATCGGTTTTTTCAATTCTTTCCACTGCAAGAGTTGGAGAGTGTAATGGGGGGAATCTGTCACACTCTGAAGCATTTGTTTGGGGTGCCCAATTTAGATCCAGCTCAGCGTAGTCCATTGATAACCTCGAACGGATGGTAGTTTGGCCATTTTTGGCAGAGTCAGGCTTCACTTGTAGTTATTTTTCTTTACAAACAGTCCACACAACTCTACTCGGGGTAATTCATCCGTCAAGCACACCATCATCGCCTCATGCTCGTCTTGTAATGCATGGTTTTGCTGCAATCTGGAAATGGCTGAGGAGGATGTCTCCAAACAAAGACCAGCATGCGCCCATTTGTACGTACTGCCTGGTGAACGGCGTTTGTCAATCCAATCGGCCACGCACTTGCTCCGCATGGCTGGAAAGCCTCACAGCCGCTGAAGCGCAAGTGCTCCTCTGTTGCAAGCACGGACAGATACCCCAGCAAGGCAAGAACATGTGCGAGTGTGTGCTTTGTCCTTAGACTCCAACTCTGCGCAGCATGTGTATGAGAAAGTCGCGGTGCGTGGCGCCAATGGCGCGAACACCACGAAGCGTGAGGACAGCCGTAGCAGAGCAGTTCTTGCTTTGCTTCGCCTGGTTCCACTTCGTTTTCCAGGTGAGCTTCACCTTGCTGGCGGTCAGCATCCACGACAGGCCCTTGTCTTGTGAGCTGAAGTTCGGCGACGAGATCCAACGATTTGAAGAGGTCAGCGCAGCCAGGCTGGACAACGAGGTTTGTTGGACGGTTGGAGCTTGGAACTGGTGCAAACGTGGCCGCGTGGGTTTTGCATGTTTTTGGGAGGATGGTGCGCAGATTGACGTCATGATAGCACGCTGGTGCTGTTAGTCGGACGAAGATTCTGAATATGTGAAACCCTGAACTCATGCCTTAGACAACGCGGTTTATTGAGCATGATATAACCTTAGCAAAAATGGCGTGCAGTAGATCAAAGTTGGCAAAGGAATTAACACGATCAAAAGGTGCAGTTCCCTGTTGAAGTTCCTTGGTTCTAGAACCACACTGCACCCATCCATTTGAACACTTAGAGTAGTCGTGGGAAGGGAGAAACGTGAAGGAGGTCAATTGTGATCGCAAACAATTTGGGTGATAGGTGATAAGTTTGAAACATTTGCTACGAGAGACACATCACCACATCCTTTTTTTTCTGTCTGGCTATGAGATGTGTTCAGTTCCTCGCAGGAACAGTCGTTTTTGGAAGTTCAACCAGCAACAGGAAGAAGTACATGAACCCATGCAGTCGCTGGACGACGTCCATCCGGACGACCAAAGCAATGACGCGCCAAAGAAACCATCGAGTTTCCTCTGTCGTTTGGGGCCATCAAAAGTGCTAGTGAGATTCCACCAGGCCCAAGTACTACTCTCATTTCACCCAACATTAAAATCTCAAATATATTTTATAATATAGATCAACAACACATATGTTTGAAATCAGTATTTAAACCATATATGATTCATGAAGTCTGAGTCTCGCACCTCAGACTTGCTTCGTCCATTCGTCTTGGATTTCAGGTGGCCCCAGACCTTGCCGGCCCGGACGTTCGAGGTGGAAGACCTCCGGGCCGCCCGGCGGTTCGATGGGTGTCGGAGCTGGAGCTGGTCTCATGGCGCCACCGAGACCGGTGGGCTCAGAGGTGAAAGCATGGCACCGTGTCCCTCTGAAGAACCACCTACTACTTGGGGTCTGTGCCATTGGTCCTCTCAATCCACTCTAGGGCAGCTTTTTGAGGGCTTTTTGTTGGAAGAAGTGGACAGAAGAGGGCCAAGCTGAGTCTAGCTGAGTCTATAGCTGAGTCTAGCTGGTCGGGAGTGATTCGGAGCTATGAGAGAATCCTCCAGTTTGGAGTTACACCACGCTACACCTGTAGTGGTGAAGCCGCATCTGTCTTATTCCCGGCCACGCCACAGTTCAACCAGGTACCGCGAACCTTGAAGCTGAGTTTCTGGACCAGCGACTCGAACGATGGAGCGGGACGCTTGATCCATCCAGTCACGAAGAAATCCTTGGGATCCATGATTTTTGCATATGTTTGTGTAACAATATGCAGGTCTTTGTTCAGACTCCGTGCAGGTTTTGAAGGTTTTTTTGCCTACAGGTTTGCCCTCTTTAAAGCTAGAGTTTGGCTGATGTGGATCACTCTTGCTTCTCCTTGGCGCATCACCGGCAGCCGATGGGCAGAGCGTTTGGAAACAGGGAGGCCAGCATGGCCCGTGTATTTTTTGGTTCGTTTGATGGCCTTTGTTTGGCACTTTTATCATCCCCGCGCCGGCAACCCGTGGAACGAGACTGCTGAAGGCTTGGAAGTCACCGCTGCTTCTGGAAGAACTCCCGCGCCACCTACACTGGTTCCAGAGTAGATGGCACAAGCCCAAAGATGTCCTTTATATTGGGTCTATATCAACCCAACTTTAGGGGATTCGGATAGTGTCATCTACTCTGAAACCACTGGAGACTGTAGTTAACTATGCCAAGCATGTCGGATGACTCATCGTCGAGGCGAAATCGCGACTCACACGGTCTTTCGTTGACTGATGTTGACGATGCTTCCTTCTTTTCTGGGGTGTCGATGTCAGATCTTAGATGCTTGGGTGGGACATGACCTTGCGTGACCTTAAAACTTGTGGAATGATCTGTCGAGGCCATGGATGGGGGGCATTAAGGATTCTGTGACCTTTCGGGGAATCAAGCATGCTCATTTGAACCTCCAGCATACTCCTCAAGCTGGCGCACCACCTACCACAAGGCGAGGCTTCAGAGGGGGGTCTGTTTGACTCTTGATTCCGAGATACCTCCAAAAGTTCAGCACGAAGGCTAAAGAGGCGGAAAAGAAGTAAACAGCACTACAGGACCCTCCCGGGAGGGAGGCGGTCTACATGTGAAAGTGTCCTCGCCTCAAAAGCGTCAGTGAGGCCAAGACCCCTCTGGCAGCGGCTTTGGGGGGTCGGGTCATCCCCACTGCATGGCTTCGGGACACTTGGAACTGGAGCTCAGCGCAGCTCCAAAGCGGTCGCAGGCCGGCGGAACTTGTGGTGACGCCGCGGGTGGAACTGAGGGGGATCGAAGAAGAGCCCCAAAAGGGCCCAAAAGCCATGTTTGAGCCAACATGACCACCAGGATGTATATAGTATATATAGTATACAACTATAGTGACATATAACCACCAAACAACTATGTCACCACCACGAATGTAGCCTAAATGTTTATATATATATATATATAGTTGTTTTGTTTTCCTCCTCCTTCCTCTACTTGCAGCTCGCGCAACCATCTCTGACGCAGCACGCATTGCATCACAAGCAGTGGTGCACTTCCTCTCCGGAAGGCACCTGGGGAAGTGTTGACTGAGGCAACCAAAAGCGTACATGGCATCGTGTGAAAAGCGGCATGCCACGCACCCGGCCATTGGGGTGCCTGTCCCCCACTGATCTGAGACAGGGTCGCTCCGACTGAGTTCGGAGCGGAGAGCACGAGCAGTTCGGGTGTGAGGACCTCGACCCAAACGTTCGGGTGCAGTTCGCTCGAAACGGGTCGAACACACAGGGGTTCCTGAATGATCCCGTATGGATCCATCCACGCATGGTGGGTGGCAGGGCAACGCGGCACACCGCGGTGTGGCCGTGCAGCTTCTCGTTGAACGGCCAGGTTCAGGTCTCCTTGAAGGTCCAAGACCAGAACCAACTGCGCCGAGGTGGTCTTCTGGGGGTTGGGTGGGCGATGCGGTCTGGGAGATGCAGAGATCCATTGGTCTGGGCGATCGGTCTGAGTTTGGTGTTCTTTTTGGGGCTGGTACGCATTGGCATCATCTCAACATAATAGATACTGTAGATTGCACATGATTGCATGATTAGTTCTTGGAAGCCTTTTCGATCTTTACATGCGGCGAGGGTTGCGGAACCTCCGGGTTGACACCTGATCCGCTGTATCCGCTGTGCGCCGCCCAGCAGAGTTGCGGTGCAGGTCTGGCTCTCTTGCAACTGGAGGCCAGGAGAGGACGGATGGGATGACTGAACAGTCGGTGAAGCTCGATAGGAGACAGCCAGACTGGTCCAGCCAGACTGGCTCAGCCAGGATGAAATGCCTCTGGTGGCCATGTAGACTCTTGATTCATGAGCCCCTCCCAACTTGAATTGGACATCCTCTTCATTTGGGGGGTTTATGAATTAAGTAAGACTCTACATCAGGCTGATTACAGTGGTTTCAGAGTAGATGGCACAGGCACCCAAAGATATCCTTTATATTGGGGCCAAGGAAACAACCCACCTTTAGGAGATTGTGCCATTGGTCCTCTCAATCCACTATAAAACGATCGTCCGCACTCGTTGCGTCGACCCCCTGACGAAGGGAAGCAGCGCGTTTCAACGAGCGTGCTGAAACGAGCTGTTTTGGTGGGTTGGAAGCAGCATGGATCGCCCAAATGGAGAATTGGTCAATGGCAACATCAACCACTTGGAGAGTACTGCCAATCCAATAGACAAGCAAACAAGCACCAGGCATGCTCTCTACTCCATATTGGGTGCCAAGTAAACCAACTCAGAAAACACCATAAAAGGCCAGGGATTCACAGATGGTTTGCTTTTTTGGAGTCACACCTTGTGGTGTGCAACATGCTTCTCACCCAAATCCCCAGACAGGTTCGCACACCCAGCCACCTGTCCAGATCGCAGGTTCAAACGGAAAATTTGCATGAACCAGACATGGGACTACCAACAAATGTCGATCAGTTAGGGTGGAGAGTCAATGTTGGAGGCATACATGCTGACGCTGCAGGCTGACGATCAAAGAGCTTCTCTGGGTTTGGCACTTGCTTCCTTAATGGTTTTGCTTTTGGCAGGTGTGCCTCTTTTGAGGTGGGCAAGTAAGTAGCTGATAGCTGTGAAAAGCGACATTCTCACCACGTTTGGGTGGCCGAAATTTGCCGATCAGATTGGGAGACTTGTGAAAGGGTTCTTCATTTACCAACCACCTTTCAACGGAAGTTCCTCACAAGCATTGGAAGACGTATGTCAGCGTCTTCTTGTCTCGTGCCGCCACGTGCCGCCACGTGCCGCTGCAGGTGAGCCCACAGAAGCCCCAATTGGCCACATGGATGTCTTCTGTGGGTGTGGGAGGGAGGGTTTCCGCTCACCGAGGAGTTCCGAGACTGCTTTTCCACCAATCACGAACAGTATACGTTGCACGTGGCGGCCCCCGGGGCCCCCGCCCACCAGAAAGAGACAGGTTGAGACATCTGGATCGACGGGAGGAGTGGATCGGATCGAGAAAGAAGATATCCGCAACAGGGAACACCCTTTACCTATGGGATCCTATGGGTGTATATAGGTGTACCATATTCGAGCATGCAACTTTCGGTCATTGGTAGGTCAAGACCCGGACCTAACGTCCTGTCAAGGCGTCCAAAAAAAGCTCAAACCAAGGTAACCAAGCACATCGCTCTTCTTCTATACCGGTCCCTTCTGTCGTAGGTTCCAACAAACGTGCCTAAGCGTTTCGCGGTTCGAACATCACCACCGGATCTCCCACCCAACCTCGTTGGTTGGCGGCACCAGTCAGTCTTCCAGTCAGGTCGCTTAGCTTTGCTTCTTGGGTAAAATGGAAGTGGATGGCACCACCTGTTTGGTTCATGGAACATGGTCTTCCAAGGGGCAATTCTCCACTTCCATGTTTGTTCCAGGGAGTGTATGTTCTTGGGACTTTTGGCTGGTGTAACAGGTCTTACTAATATGTAGTAATTGGACTAGACTTAGAGCCTGTCAAGGGCCTTCGGTACAGTCTATTGGTATCTATTGGTGAGTTGGGGCATGGACAAGGAGCAACTATAAAGTAAGTGTAAAGACCCGCATTTGCACAAAACACATTCTAGATTATCCTGACTATGGAACTCTCAAAGTTGATGGACAAAATCCTGTGTGTTTTTGCACGATGAATCTGATGATGTGCGTGCTGCGTCCTGGTGTTGTTTCCGGAACCTCATGTCCATCGTTGACACAGCTCTACTTACTTGTTGCCGCTGAACTCTAAAACCAATCATAATGGGCACTCCTCCGCTTCCAACCACCCCAGGCTGCAGCCAAAACGCCGTCCGCACGAAAACGCCACCCCCCCCCCGCCCCCGCACCCCTTCCGAGGTGGTGTACGGCCACGGTGATGCGCTCTGCTCACGGAGCCTGTCGCTCTTCCGACGCTTCAAGCGGCGGATGCAGCACACCCAGGAGCGCCGGTGTGGCACGTCCCCGCGGGGTCGGCGCGGTGGACCTGGTTTCTGCGACGAAATCCACTTCCGCAGGGGTCTTTTGATCAAAGTAGCCATGTTTCTTTTGAACAAAACACATCGTGCAGTCCGTCTTTTGATGTGTTCTGAACCTTGGATACCCAGAGACTTCATGCCAAAGAGATCTTTCGACCGTTTTTCAGTTGGTGAAAGATCTGAAGTCGGTCTGGTCGGTCTGGCCGGTGCATCCGCGGTGAGCTTTTGGGATAGGACGAGAGAGGATCGGTCCTCTCTCGTGATGCCGTGATGCTTTTGATGAGGTCGAACATATTTTTCATAACTCAGCTCTGTGGCCTGGTGGATCACAAGATGTCCTACTGAAGACTGGTATAGATGAGTCAAACACCATCCTCCCATTCTCATCAATTAGATCTCTTAGTGCGAAAGAGTCAGCACAAAGCGGTAGCGCCTCCCACTTCGCAGGATGAAGAGCTTGAGGCAATGGAGGGCTATGAGGACCGCCCCCTCGACGAGGATGTGCGATGCTGCTCAGCGGGAACGTGGCCATGGCTTCCCCTCCCCACGAGCCGCGGCTCGCGAGCCGCGAGCAGCTCAGGTTGGAGCTATCTGGAGCATCGCTTTGAGGCGCTGAAGCTGAAACGCCAGCAAGAGCGACAGCTCATCTCGCGGGCCGCCGCCCTCAAGGCGAGAAGGGCAGGACGGCACGTCAACAGAAACAAGATGGATGGATGATGGATGTGGGTCATGCGTGTGGATGCGTGTGGATGGGAATCCCCTGAGAGGAAGTGGGAGAGAACTTCCGACCCAGCCAACAGAGGTTGAATAGGTATACCTATAGTTCGACTATCCCAGTTGGGTACCCCAGGTGTTCCGGGTCCTATTTACGGTCACTGGCTACCTCTCTTGGAGACCTCCAGACGTCTCCGGAGACGACGGAGCTCCGAGGCGTGTCCCTCGACCGACCTGGAGCACCTGGGCGACCAGTCGAGCCGGGGGAACGGGGCGGCAGGGTTAGGCGGGGTACAGGTTTCGGCGTTTGGGGTGAGGGACACGAAGTGATGGGTTTGGTATGGTTGGGTGGATCAGAAAGATCATAGTTACTATGACGAAGGCCGAAAAAAGTGATCGTTCACTTATATAGAAATCCAGCAGACGCAGACGCCGATGACCAAACAACCGTCCCTCCAACAGCATCTCCAAAGCCCGGGACGACACGGGAAACGCGACCCGTCGGCTTCTGAAGAATCGACCTGGAACGTGATCACAGCGTGCCAACGGGGACGCGGAGAGCGGCGTTGCCCGTCACGTCGATTGGGGAGTCTGAAGTAAGACGAGACGAGCGGAGGTGTTGCAGCAACGGCCCAAATCTAGCCGAATATATGATCAAAGAAAGGGTATATAGTGCCCACCCACTCTTCAATCATATAGTAACTGAAAGTCTGGAATATGTTGGAAAGCCAAACGCTTCAACGCTCTTTGATGCTCTTTGGCCCTTGTGACATGTTGGACTTTTCCACATTTTTCAACACTTCCCATATGGAACACCCCACCTCCGAAACCTTTCAATCCACCCAGAAACCTTAACTAACTTAACCGCCTTAACCGGTTCACGATCCTTCATATATGATTTCATTCCTTTGCCCCAACTCTTTGAAATATCTTCCTTTCCAACCGGGACTGATTTCTCACTGCGGACGTCCCTCCACCTCTTTGCTGCGCGGCTTCACCCCCGAGGACACCGCGTTCGCTCGCGCGCGTGAGCTCCGAGCAAGCGATGCGTGGCTCGGGGCGGTACGGAGCGGTACTCGCCGGGTCGGGTGGGGTGATTCACGGGTCTTTAATGGCCACACCAATTCTATCAAGGAATCAACTGCGAAGAATGAAGAATTCTTTTGAACCGTGTTTTAACAGTTCTATACCCGTTTGTTACATGTAACAAATGAATCTGAAGGAAGAGGTTCCCAGACTGGCGAAGAGGTTCCTGACATGGTTCTCCTGAAAGATCGTGTCGATCGAAAGGATTGGTAATGTAGAGACCATGTAGATGTAGACCTCTGTCTCACCCCCATATACCTTAGGGCTCCATGGCCCAACCTTCGCTTTGTCTTTGTGACGATATTCAAGCAGCGCGTCTCGCCGTTGGGCCCCCTGCTGGGGCGCTTGACACCACGAGTGCCGCTCTGGTGCGACAGAGTCTGAGGCCTCCAACGGTTCCTACGACCGATTGCAGCCGATCTGAAGTGCAGCCGAAGTGAGTTGACCATCTTGGTTGGGGAAGTTGGTGGGTGATGTGTATGTTGTTTATTTTATTGGTTTGCTGAATGATCGACCTCCGAGTTTCCAATCTTTTGTGGTTCTGTGGCTTAGGCTTTAGTCTGGTCTATTGGATAGTTTACAAGTTTGCTTCGAACTTGACATTTTCTGGGTGAACGTCATTCGAAGCAGTTGAACTTGAACTCCTGCCACTATAGCGACTCCTAGATGCAGTTCTGTCCAGACATCGTGAGGCTGCTGGTGCTTCTAAATTTGGCTTACCTTCTGAAGAATCTTCAACCGATCTCCTCCAAAACCTTCCGCTTGGTCTCTGAAGTGGAAGAAGTTCCTTTCTTCATCATTCATAATGTCATGAGCTCCCCTCCCACAGCGCGAATCATCATGGGACTCCAAGGTGAGAGGTACCCATGGCAGCAAAGTCTTAGCGGAGCACGTGGAGCCTTCCACCTTCCAGGTACGAAGATGTAGGACGTCTGATTTGGTTGTTTGTGGTTGGTCTGGGAGGCCTGATTGTCGTTCTCGCACTGCCAAGCATCACTTTAGTCATATAGTAAAGGCAGTAGTAAAGGCCTATTTGGTCATTCATATACTTCTTGTCAGGATTTCTGGCACACCAGAAAAGGAAGATCGACACATTTTCAAACGCATGTCCAAGCAGCGTGGTTCGACTTTTGATCCCTTGTCCGTAGGGAAACTGAACGGAGGTATTAGTTAAGCGCAGCTTCACAACCTGTGCCAGCTGGTAACTCCCATTGCACGGCCCTTCGCCATTGGAGGCTGAGTCCTTTCGGGAGTTCCTAGAGTCCTCCTTACGAGCCCCGCGCTTGCCGCAAGGCGCCAAGCCTGGTCCGTGTGAGGGTTCGAGGTGTTTGGAGAAGTGGGGTGGGGTTGAAGGGTGGGTTTCGGGGGTGATTTTTTCCCATTCCAGGCCTCCTTGTACCTTGGTGTTGATCTCGGCCTCAGAGAATTGGTGCGATCGCATGGTGATCTCCTCCTTTTTCCATCCTCTTCCTTGAAGTGCGATGCCCAGACCCTTTTTGTCGCAGACCGAGCCGGAGCCTTGGTCTCGGACTGTCGGAGGCTGTTGGACGGCGTTTGGACCCCCTTTTTGCCACCGGAATCCCTCGGCAGATGATTGGGCGGCTCTCAGTGCCTTGCTCTGCGCAGATGGAGAAGTCCAAATGCAGGAGGGGCGGAGTTTGTATATCACTGCACCGAGTGGTCTTGATATTTTGCGTTGTCGAAGATTCGTGGCTCGCCACGTCAACGGAGGATTTGGATCTAAAGCATATACCCAACGCCTATACTTGAAGGGTTGTACCACCTGCAAGTACAACCTTTCAAGTACAACCCTTCAAGTAACCCTTCCATCGTGCCACCATGAATCCCAGTCAGTCCCACTGCCCAATCCCACTGAAGTCAGTTCACCAACCCCCCCCGCCCGGGACGACCGGAAGGACTTCTTGAACTTCGTCGAGCACGGTGTGGAGGTCGTGCCCGTGCCGAGGCGGGGGGCGGAACGTCGTGCTGCTTTGACGGTGGGGCGGGACGGAGAGGGTCTGCACATGCGGGAAACATGCATGTGGGGAGCAAACAATTGGAAGACACACGTTCGGATGAACCGTTGAAACGTGTTGAAATTATATTTTACATATAGACCGTTTTCAGCCTGTCCACTATCAGACCATCTCAGATCAATGTTTCTAAACCGATGGAGACGGCAACGGAGTTTTCGAACCTTACTTTGGTACCCTTCTGGAGCCCAGGGTCATCTATCCCGACGAGCAGCGCGCCCGTGAGATCCTTCGCGAGCCTCGAAGGGATTGCCGCCGCGGGGACAGCGGGGGGTGGGATCATGGCAACATTGCGGCAACTCGATCCCACAGATCATCATGGTTGGAGGACTGACTCCGCTGATGTATATAAGACCTTATCTTCCGAGACGGAAGATGAGACCCATACTCAAACGACCCGTGGGACTGGCATGGTGTTGTGTTGTAAGTTGCTTTCAGCTATACCCTATGTCATTCGGAAGATGAAACTTGGAGAAAGCTCCCTCGTCCTCACTCCTTGCGTCAAGAAGCTCTAGAGACTGTGTGGTCGATTTCGATCGAGCCCAAACTTTATATCAGCAAGCTTTCCGAATGCCACAAGTTGTAAGAGTCAGAAGTGGCTACTTCTTCGTTCCCGTCCAAGAGATCAACGCATGTCTGTCGGAGTGGAGCTGGTTTGGATGGTGAACAGCCGATGCAGGAAGAAACCCACTTCCAAAGGTCTTGACAACAGCCAATAAGCACAGACTATAGCAGCCGAAAACACATTCATATTATAGTTCTATTCACGTACCTTCCATGGCCTAGGCCCATGGTGGTTCTGGATTCCTCAATGTTCCTTGTAGTTGGTGACCTACACCCCAATCTGGTAAGAACGGTGCAACAACGACCAGAGGACCAGGAGACCGGATCATCTGGATGTGGATCATGAGTCGTGACGACCAATCTGTGAACCCCAAGACCCTAAATACAGGGCCGAATGATTCACTATGATGCCATATTTCTTCCTTTTTGTTCCAAGTTGTGCTGCAAGGAATCTGGATCTGCGTCTATATTTCCACGTCCAGGTGGGTGAACACGTTAAACTGACCGACCGCCTGCACCGTTCGTAGCATCCGACCGACCGGTCTCTGCGTGCCGAGGAGATGTTCCCCAACTTTCTGGCAAAGGACCGACCGGTCTCGATGTGAACCACTTGGGTTTCGCTGATCGTGCAGTGGCGATTCCGAGCGATTCGCGTTTCGTCGGTGACGTCGCTGGGTGGTGAAATCAATCGCCGATGGCATCGTCGGCATCGTCTATGAATCGACGTGTTGCACCTGCAAACGTGCAATGGTGCTGTGGGTGTTGTCCTGTTTCTCCCACCCACGGTGTATTTGACTCCATTTTCTCACAGAAATACGCCCAACCTCGACATCCTCGACCTCCCTGGGCTTTCGTATGACAGGGTTCCTTTCTTTCGTATGACGTCCATGTACCTGGCAAGTATGGGACGTGTTCTTCTGAGAACCGACGGTCGTAGCGATGGACGCGCTCCACGCTCTGGCCACGCTCTGGCCACGCTCGGGCGAGCTCTCTCTTTCAGCCCAGCTTGTAGGTGATGCTTTTGAGGTTGGTCAACTTGGATGGTTTCTGGGCACCTCAATGTAGAACTCAGATGGGACCATGTTCCTCTTGGTGGCTTGGATCGCCCCTCAGACCGAGACGCTGAGCGTTGACGCTTCCCTCAGGAGCTGCAGCGGGAGATGAAGGTTGGTGAGAAGGCTTTCTGCTGATGGGGTCATGGTCACCATTCGAAGGCATTCTCTTATCCTATTGGTCCCATTGATTGGTCTGTTCTTTTCGTTTCGCAGAAGTACGGTAGTCTGTCAGGATGTTGGCCCATGTTTGCGGTTTGCTTTACAGCCGCTATTAGCGGCTTGGATGATCAGGATGCAGGTGTTCTACGTCCCACTCAGCTGGGCTTCGGTGTGTTGGGGGCGCGTTGGACGGTGTTGGAACCTTTGGAGAGGTTGGCAAAGCAGATGGAGACATTCAAAATCAGGAGACACGTCGCCAGCTCTTGGTTTTTCACTAAATCCAGATGTTTCCAGCTAATGCAGATGTTTGGTCACATTGCCCAACTGCTATCGACTGAAATCTGGATCTGTGTCGCTCTTCCGCTCATTTCCAGAGAAAGCTGAGTTCAAATTAAATTAAGGTTCCTGCAAATCCTGATCATCTTAGCCCGGTTTCCGGAGCCTCAAGAAGAGGACATGGTAGGCAAGCTTGTGGCTGACAAGGCACGTGAGTTTCATTTCCTCCTATCACCCAGAGTCTCAACGCATCTATAGTCATCTATAGTCTATAGTGGTGCCGAGCTGTTCATGTTTGGTGCATCCGATGGATCCCCACAACTGGTTCCTTCTATTGCTGCACGGATGAAACCGCTCGCTCCATGTACCCTCACCTCGTTTGCCACAGGAAGCACCGAATTTGGTCACGTTCCGCCTACCCAAAACGTTTGTTAGCCCCAGCCTGTCAGCCGCCGGTCAGCCGCGTCTCCACCCCGGGCTGAAGCGCAGCCCGGCCATGTGCCAGACAAAGGCTCTGGCGGACGGTGGAGAACTCGTGGAGGAAAGAAGGAGCGAAGTCCCGCTTGGGTTTGGGGGAAAGCTTTCGTTTTTTTTTTGCCTTGCCTTGACTTTGGAAGCTAGCGTTTTCGAAGAACCGACCGCTCCAAATGAAATGATGATATGTTGATCTTGGTTTGTGGTGCAGTCATGGTCAGATATGGTCAGATGCTTTTCTTTGTGTGTGGTGCGGACATGGTCAGGCGCTTTGGACAAACCAAAGGCACCCCAGAAGAAATGGCTTAGTAGGTGTCATCTCTTCATTTTATGATATGCCCCTCTTTAAACAGGTGTTGATACGAGGTGGACTTCCCCCAAAGAAGGCCCACCACCAGTGTGGCCGGTGTGGCCAGTAGAGGTGTGTCTGAAAGTCGTGGACTGGGAACACGGTAGGAGACAGATGGACAAGTCGAAGACCGGAGTATCTCAACGGGAGTAGTGATTAACATACTGCACTACATTTTGAAGTATCTCATCTTCCCCTAGGAAAACCTCTGATCTTGTTTTGATCTGACCATGTCCTTTTGCCCGGAAAGAATCGCCTGCCGCCTAGACCGGCTCAACCTCCAGCTGGTTTCTGAACCGCGTTCCTGTGGAACACCGAACCCTGATGGCCAGTGTGGCCAGAACAGGCAGGAAGTCAGGGAGACTTTGCGATTTCCATTGGGCGGGTCTCAGCAGTGACATTTTCTATATTCCATGCGGCCGCCGCTGCCGGAAAAACAGGCTTTCAGGGGGGCCCCATCTGACGGCCGGGCATGGTATATCATTTCCTGCTTGGCTACTAGCTACTGTAGTAAAATAGTTTAGTTATAGGATATCGATATAAATAGATAGTATATGATAGTTTTGGTATGTATTGGTGAACGTAGTATGACGTAGTCCCACAACTTCAAGCCAAGCCTGGTGGATAGTGCAGTTATCTCCAGATTCCTTTTATGCCAATATATACATGTACCATATATATATATATATATTCAACCTGAGCTACTGTCGATGTTCCGCCTGGGCTCTACTTGAGCCCGACCAGTGGCTTGCGAGTCCGGAGGTCAACCACATGGTTTCCATTCCCAAATCTCCTGGCCAGTTGGGCTGCTGACCTTCTTTTGTGCGGCCGAAGCTTCGCTGCGCAGCATCTCGCATGTGCGTGGCCGAGAACGTCGGAGCGCCTCTGAGGAGGGACAAACAGTCCAACCCCTCTGAAAAGCCTGGATCGAGGTGAGTCTGAGTATGTTTGGGAGAACGACCAGAAGAACGGGATTTGGATCTGGAAAAAGGAATTCGCACTTGGCACTGCTCTTTTCTTGGTATTGGCCGATTCTGGCCAATTCTTTTCAGACCTCCCAGCGGATGGCGAGGCCGAGTTTCGAGGGTTTGGTCGTCGCCTGGAAGTTCTCCTTGTCCTTCTGTAATGGATAGCTCCACTGCAGTAACTTCTCCACTGCGGAATTGGACGAGGATTAAGCGTTGGAAAAGCGAGTTCTATATGAGGATCTTCTTCAGAAACCGACTGTGGTGGTTTCTGCACCACCCCGGCAAAGATGAACGATTTGATCGTCAGCCATGGACTACTCCACACTATGCATTTTGGACACCCCGACAGAAAGCTGCATGCATAGAACTCGTGAGACCCTCAACGGCCAAGGGGGAGAGGGAGAAATCAACTCCAACCCAGTGCTTAGCCCAACTCCATAAGCCGAAGTCTACACATTCCAAGAGAGGTGGAAAGACCTGATGGGACCCCCTATAGAGTGTTACGGTGGTGCTAGGCTGGGATAGGCGGATAGGCTGCTCAAGCTACTCAGCTGCGGCTGGTCACCGCAGGAGTTTCCGATCCACTTGGCCTGGAGCCCTACACCCAATTTCTGCGTCTCAGCGGACCGCAATCGCTTGGCGAACGGCGTCAAGGCTGCGGACTGCGGGGACTGCGGGGGTTGTGTGGTATTCCGTCCTTCTTTGGACATGGTTCACTGGATTTGTTGCATGCTGCAAGACACAGGTTGCCAACATGAGCAGCGAGCTTTAGGATAGCAGTACTATAGCACCCCAGTCCCACCCCGTCCTCGTGCCAGCGATGGTTTTCTCTTTTTCAAGGTACAGCTCTGGGAATGTGACAACACCTGGCAGAGCAAAGGGCAAAACTTTGTGGTAGACTCTCAGCACCGCATCCGGATGCATACGAATCTGGATTACTGCCTGGTGGTGGATGGGGACTACCTGGCAACTGGAGCTAAGATCCAACTTTGGAAATGCCACTTGGCATCAAACGGAGGTAGAGCAATGCATTAAACAGGACGACATGGACGACATCTCCAAAAATCCGATCCCTTTTTCTGAGTCGTTTTTTGATTCTTTTGTTTGGATCAACCTTTCTCCACTTGATCACATTTGGGTCCGTGGTAGTTCAGAACAGGATTTGTGTGGCTGATCCAACTTGTACTATAAGACTATAGAATGACTATAGTATGTTGGTTAGATGGGTCGAATAAATCACTGGAACAAGTGGAGTTGCTGAGAAACCGGAGATGACCGGATCCCGATCACGCATCCGGAGATGAGTCGATGATCGATCGATTGTTCGATCGTGCCGAGATCGCAGTCAAAGGAGGTTGCATCACCCTAGAGATACTGAGAGCGTGATATTGTGATGTTTTTGATTCGTCATGTTCGTTCATTTTCTCCGGTGAATCGAAAGATGGCGTAGCCAGCTACTGCAGTTGAGCAGTGGATGGAGACATCGTGAGTAACTGGAAGATCATGTCATACAACTGACATCGCCGGATATCCTGTCTTGTGGCTTTCCGGATTTCTTCCTTCAACACTAATTTCTTCCAAAAGGTCTGGAAGTTCACTCAAACCAACTCTCGATCCGTACACCCAAAGCCGGTCCTGATGGTCGGAGAAAAGGATCACATGTCGATGACCCATAGACAGTTCTGGAGTCAATGCAAGCACCAAGTCCAGTGTCTGGGATGGGAGAATCCTATGGGTCAACATGGGCCTAGCATAGTCTCTCACTGCTGCTTCTCTTTTGTCTTCCTTCGATTGGTCCATTCATCTTCAGCGAACCGCTCGGTCGTCTGATGATGTCTACTAGCTCTGAGGTAATGAGGAGAACCCCAATCAGCAGTTGCCTGGCTGTGAACATGAGAGGGATCAGTCAAACACCCCAAGCATCTGCAGTGGAAGGTTTTCTTTGCACTTTCTGCTTGCTGGGGACGCAGGGATGAAGCAACAGAGCGACATGCGGAGGCAGCGTGTTTCAGCGGACGTCCTGGCGATATTCAACAAAAATCCGAACTTTCTGCCCCGAATGCACCAACAGTCCTTTCATGTCCTTTCTGTCCCCGATGCTTTCAAACTGCGCAGCTGACTTCGGCGGGCTCGAGCTGACCTGGTCCAGTTGTGTGACCACCACTCCCTCGGGCCTCCGATCGAACGACCGTTCGAGCGACCATTCTTCTCGTGCTGACCCGGTCAGCAAGGTGGTACTCCAACTTGCGAAGCCCCATCAGCAGCTTGAGCAAGCCATCTGTGTGCATGGCCGTCGATGGCCACTTGATGTGAGTGAGTTCGCTGTGGTGATGAGGGAGCACTGAAGACTGACTTGTGCGAGGAAAGTAGGCTGGCTGAGGGTGGCTGGATCCAAGGGAACCTCTATTGGGAGCAACATTTCCGACTCATTCCCTACGACTTTCGTCGCACCAGTCAGATCTAGATGGATTTGGGCTGATTTCGGTTCTGGTCAGAAGTGGAGATGGATCCTGCGTCCGGATGTCCAGCACCCTTTCGTCGACGCCGCGGACCAGGTCACCGCCGTTGACACGACCGGGTCCAGGCAACACCGCCTACAACGGCGCCGCGGTGCAGCTGGCGCCCTGCCAGGGTCCGAATGCCCTCCAGGCGCGCAAGGGGTCCGCATGGGTGGGCGCGGCTGCGGCTAGCGCGGCAAGACGGGCGGGGGGAGGAGCGAAACTGCGGAAGATGGTGGGGTGTTGGGTGGGAGAAGAAGCGGTGAAGTGAGACCAGCACAGGAGGGTCAAGTGTGATGATTTTGGCCTCTTATAAGTTTTATATGGCGATCTAGAAGGGGTGGCCACAGGCAACCAAACATGATCTAGGACCTAGGAGAGAGGACTGGAGCTCGAATGTTCATCTTTCTACGCTCACCCGTTCGCCAGGAATGGACACGACTCGCGCTTGGCCCGGGGGGCCGAGTCTTCGCGGTGCCCAATGCAGATGGGGCTTGTGAGGCGACGGATGAGGAACAGGGGGCCACGTTTGGGTGTAATGTAGACATGTTGATGAAACAACGCAACTCACGACATGAATGATCTGAAGGGGTCGTATACAATCCATGGACATGGTGGGTGGTACGAATCAAGATTCTACATTTACCGGAAGAGAATTGGAAGGATAGGCCACATAATCATAACAAATGCAGGAGTTCGGCCGATGAAGGGTCCTCATCAGGTGCAGATGTTGGAGATTTCATGGGCATCTCATCACAAATGCGGGTAGGGGGTATGCGGATTTTGATTTTCTTTGAGGAGTTAGGTGCCAGACTTCATGAGGACACTCCCAACTGTGAGTCTTGTGCTTAGGCCGCGTATCCAATTCATCTGGAGCTGAGACTTGGTGGAAGCAAGCAGTAGACTTGCATGCCAATCCTCCCTGATCCATCCTTTCTCCAGCTCACAGAGGAGATGCTTATGATATATTAGCTATGGAGTCCAGCAGACTGTGAAGTTCCATCCTGGACTCCAGTTTCTGAACTATCCAACGGTTTCACCCTTGGCGGATGGGATTGTTCCTGGGCATTTCGTCCGACTTGTCGACTCAAACCCAGGACATTCCCTTCACAGCCCCAACATCGGTCCCCACCGATCCAAAAGAATTCGGGTCGGGGTCCGTCGCAGCTACCAGGATAGACGTGATCCACAAGTCTCTTCACTCCGAGTTGGTTTCATGTGAGACGGGTCATGGGCACCCAGTGCTTCCCACCTCGGAAGAACCCTTGTCGGCACCTCGGCACCCACGACCGGACCGCTGTCCGCACCGCACCGCACCACGCCGCGCCGTCCGACCCGCGGCGGAGCACCGCGCGCCAGGCGCCCTTCAGCGCGGTGGACGCTTCGAGCGAGGCGTGTGTGGAGGCCGCAGAGGCGCTGAGGCGAGGGGTGAAACGGGAGGAGGTGAAGGATCAGGGTATTATAAGATGGTATAAAGGATGTATGAGTTAGAAGGATGTATGAGTTAGAAGGAGATGAACCTGCATGAAACTGCAGTTTTCAGAAAAATGCGAATGATGTGCTTTTGAAACTGTACTCTGAACACCGAATGGATCTCATGAGGACACGAAAAATGCACCTGCAGCGTTGCGGCGTTGCGCTGTGACCTCTGGGGATCTGAGCTGATTCCAGTTTGAAGACCCCTTCAGAAGAAGAACGACCCATCCTAGAAACGTTCCAAAGAGAAGTCTCCTAAACACGGGCGGGGTTCGTTCTTCCCCAATCATTTGCACAGGGTCACATTCGATCTGACATGATCTCACTTTCCTTTGGGAACAGGGCACAAGAGCTCTGAGCAAGCTGGAAGCTGCCTTGACCGCTTCCAGGCCTGACAAAGGCTGCTATTCTCGCACCTTGGGCTGCGTCCGGGTGTTGAAACTCGAAAGTCCTTCGTTGGGAGCGAACGCTCGTCTTTGATCTCTTTTATGTGGCAAGCAGGTCCGGTTTGTTCTTTTGTTTCCAAGGTGTTTTCTGGAGTCTATTTCTTTTGAGGCGTTGTTCCGTTTCTTTTTGCTGGAGAACATGTATAGTATCAAGTATCAAGTGTATGATAATTCTGATTTTTGATACTCAGTTTGGAGGCATGCAATAGAACCCTACGGAAACTGCTCCATCCACCTCCGAAGTGCTCGCAACACCTACTCAGGAAGAATGAATGATGCCTTCCCCCAATCTAAGTATTCCCATTTTCTCAGCCTAACCAGAGTGAGTTTGGGGTAGGGATTGAAGGATTTACCCATGAAGGATGGCGGTCTGATCCACCTGATGTCAGAGAAAGAAGACCGCACTTTCCCATGAGAAAGAGACCGGCACCAACAACTAAGGGTAGTACCGGCTCCAGCTGAGGTGGTGTGGGACTTCTTCCTTCGAGGCTTCACCAAAGCCGGTGTGACCGGATTTGTTCGTAGGACCTAGGAGTAAGATTTCAGAGCAGACATTCATCCCAGGGTAAGAGGTAGAGAGAGCTCACATCAATTTTGAACCCATCAACCTATCAATCAACTCCTCAACCCGCTTCCCCACAACAAATGTGCAATGCCAGAAACAACAAAGCAGCCCAGCTATACCCTGAATTCATCAACCCATCATGTCATCCCGACTTTCATGCGTGTTGCAGACGAGGTTCCTGGAAGAGCATGATCTCCACCGAGAAACGCCGAAGTTGGCCCAAAGGCAGAGTGCGCAGGGTGCTCCGGGAATCACCCTCAACAGAACTCTTGAGGGAGTGCCTAAAAAGAGCTGTGTGTCTTTGATGTTGCTGTTGTTTTGAACTGGGATGACGAGGTTCCGGTAAATGGACACATGCATACTTGAGTCACAAAATGAGACTGCAAGTAGTGACCCTTTGAAATTAAAACCATCCCCAGGACACAGGGGGCTCCCTACTTTTGATCCTCAAAGTCTCAGAGATCCGTCTGCCCATTCGCACAGACTGGGACTATTCTGTAGGAGTTATAGGAGTTACATGGACGTTGTGAAGCACCTAGGACTGCCATGCCACGACTTGCCGATTGGGGACCATAGACTGGTCAGCTTCTGCGCTCTGAGCGACGGACCGGCAGCGGACTATCTCTTGACGACTGCCATGCCTCTCCAAGAGCCCGCGGGCGTCCAGGCTGCTACTTCTACTCTGCCTGCGGGGGCGGTTGTGGCTTGTACCTTGACGGTGCCAGGCATGTCAGCGATTCGGTCAGGCAGTCGAGTCCAGCACTTGCACAGCTTCTGGCACCATGAGTCGACAGCTGATGAACAGGGACGGTCAACACATTTTGTTCATATCTTTTCACCACATAAGGTGACCCCTCCCGCCTTTGGGTTTTCTTTCATGCAGAGGAACAGGGTGCGGTAAGACCAACAACCGGAGGCCGTTAGAACATGCATTTCGTTGCAGTGAGTTCATCCATCTCATCTCACTCCGTCGAACCGACCAGACGCGGCTCGCGGCGTGGATCGCGTGGCCCAGGCATTTCAACCCCTCGGGGCAAGGGCAGCACTGCCCTGTGGAGGGTGATTGCATTAGCATCTCAGTGATTTGCCAGCAGACCGAAGGACCAGTCTGGTAGCGTGCCTCTAAGAGAGGGGCACTGTGTGCCGTGTGTCAGAATGATTCACGGTCTTTGACCCCGCACATCCAGCAGCCAAGAATAAGAAACGCATCATTTGTTAGAAATTCAGAGGTGCCCTCTTGGATCGCATGCAGCTAGATCGCCCACTGAATGGCCCACTGAATGGTAGAGTTCATGCACACACAGAGCGTCTTGCCTCGAGGGGCTTGGACTATCTTGGACTTTCCTTTGGCTATGGTGACTTCTTCTAATCATAACACAGAGATTGTCCGGGACAAACACTGATTTCTCCCGCGGGAAATCACTGAGATTTGTAACACCTGAAACCGCCTGGAGTTTACAAATCTCGGCCCAATCCTCCTAGATCGGGCGACCTTTTTTCCCGGCGGCCAAAGCGCCACCAGTCGGACAGCGCGTCCGAGATACGCGACCGCTACGCAGCATTGTTTGCGACGGATGAGGCGAATGGACCAAAGGGACCCGGAGTTGGGGGCTTCTTTGGGACTTCGGCTTTTGGGCTGTTTTGCGGCTGTTTGGCTCCAAAGACCATCACCTAAGACTCTAAGACGCTCAACAATGGTCGGATGGCACCTGCCGCGGCAGACAAGACCTGCCTGCGGCGGGCAGCAGGGTGTGGGAGGGAAACACCTTGAGACACGAGTGTAACAGGGTTCCCTTTGGACACCAACAGCCAACTCTGAGATCACGGGATGGGAAGTGGGTGTTTCATGGTGTTTCCTCATCCACGGTCTTTTTAGTTATACTGGGTACTGATGAGATAGGACTTTATGATACTTTATGGACATATGACATGTGAGATAGGCCAATCAAAACCGGTGAGGACTTTGCACTAGTCCCATCTCATTGGGGACCAGTATAATTATACGTATTGCATGCTTTTTTCCAACATCTCGGGTGGCAGCAAAGAACCAAGAACCCTCAGTCCACACCATCTACTTCTGCATGACACAAACTGCTCTGTAGGGAAGGCATTTGTCTTCCAGGAGTTCTTGTCGATATTCATCGACATTCGATATTTCGGAGATCTAGGTGATCACAAGAGTGTGCCATGCAAACAATAGTCCCATGATGCACCGCTGGTGTGATTCTGCAAATCTCTAGCATCTCGATGATCTTGGCTCAGCTTGGAGTTGATGCACAGGTATTGCATGGCAGAAATACTGGAAGTTCGCGCAACACTGCAATCAGACCCTGTACATAAAGAAGCTTTGCCCAAACAAGACACGTGAACCAGGCCTGAACACCTCTCCCACCCGGTGACAGCTCTTCCACCGGCTCCATCTCGGTGTAGCGGAAACACGGCTGGATGTCGAAGCGATTGCGGCTGCATGGTGTGAAGAACTGTGAGAGCTCAGAGCTTCCGAAGAAGAGAGAGCGTTTTCATATCCACAGATCCAACCGGGTTGGCAGCACAACACTCACCACATGTTTTTTTACTGCGGATTGTTGCGGGGAAAAACACCAAAAAACCATGCCTCCTGAGTCCCTCGGTCAGTTCCAGCTCAGAGGGTCACAGTGACGCGTTGCGGAAATCCCCTTGCGCCATGGCGTGATGATCTTGCAATCCGTCGGGGAAGCCCCAGCGTTGATCGTCGATATCCCAGGTCTAGGATGGCGTTGCAAAAAGTGAAGACCCCTCCGGAATTCAAACGAATTCTGAGCTAAACATACCTGGAATATCGTCTTGAATTGAGGGGTTAGCACATTTAAGTGATCCCTGGATTTCAGGTGTCATTTCAATCTTCATGGTGAACCATGCAGAGCAGCAGAGAAGAATGGCACGTTTGTCGTTTCTGTGCCAGCTGCCTCTGCAAAGATGTCCCTATATGTACAGTGGTTTCAGAGTAGATGGCACAAACCCCTACATGTCTTTTAGATGGGGGTCCATATAAACCACCTCTTGGTGATTGTGCCATCTACTCTGAAACCACTGTATACACACAGACATTCTAAATTCGCCTGAACAAGAATTTTGAGAGTGAGTGACTGAGCCCAGGTCCCGACCGAAGACTATGACGAGGAGAATACTTTAGTTACAGAGGAGCCAAAGCCCAGGCGCAGAGAGCGACATGACTCCAAGGAATTCCAAGGATCTCCCCATGTAACCGACATAGACTTTACAAGGGGTAAAAGGTCATGGAGATGACCTTAATTCAGTCACCCCTACCTTTTTTGGTAGGGGGGTTAATGGAGATCGACTGTTTATATCAGGGTCGCTTTGATCATTTGTTCAATGCCACGAACCAGGGTTACGTGGCTGTCTCGGAGTCTTGGCTACTCAAGAGGTTCCAAACAGCCGACGCCACGGGGTCTTGGAACGTTTCGGGATTCTCAGCAAAACATCCATAGTTAGGAGCCAAGGAAAAGAGAAGAGAGCTTCATCCAGTCACGTATACGGGGTACTTAATGAAGGCTAGGGCCTAGGGGTGTCTATGATCCACTCCCCTTTGTGACCCGAACTTCTCCCTTCGCCACGTCGATCCTGCCGGATCCCCTGGAGGCCGAAGAAGCTGAGCCGAAAGCACCGCCGTCCGGACGGCGCAGATCTGGCGGATCAGTCGATGTTCAAACGAACCATCCGATGGAGGACATGCTTCAAAGGAATTCAAAAGAGACCATGGTTTGTTTTCACATGAAAGGTTGGAAAACCTATGTTTGTTCAGCTTCGATGACTGTAAAGCTTTCGGGTCTGTCTTCTTCCGAAAGCTGAGGCATCTCGGCCTCTGACCACCGGACCTCCGAAGAGGACGAGGCCGTCTTGTATCGACGTTCGGAAGTCGTTCGAAGGTCGGTCGAAGGTCACCAGACGTTTGGTCTTGTGATGGGTTTTGGACTTCGGGGCCCAAAAACCCCGTGGTTTTTGGGTGGTTTTGGGGGATCAGACATAGTAAGTCTCATGAGGACCGGGCTGTTTTTGCAGGGGTGCGTGTTCGCCAGTGACCCACACTTTGACTTGCTGCTTCTTCACCAGGTGAGTTGGAAGCTGGTGGCTTTGGGCATTTGCTGCTGCCTGGGTGTCGTGGCGACTGGTGCCTCGCTGGCCGTCTTGAGCCGCTTAGGCACCGACCAGGCAGCTCGTTCTGAGCGGCCGGCGCGCCGTTTTTGGGCGTTGGTAGTGGGAGTGGGCGCTGGGAGGCTGGGGTTCAAGGCAGAAGGTTTGCAACTCCTTGGGATTGCCAAGGGCCTTCTTGACATGAAGAGGTAATCCGCAGATCGAGAGAGAGAGAGAGAGAGACAGGTAGTTCAATCATGTTCAATGCCCACGGACAATGGACGACCAAAAACAATGCAGCCTGCAACGAAGCGGCTTCTTTCCAGGTCGGAGGAGCTCAGAATGACAAACATGGATAAACATTCCGATGCCACGATTCAAGCACATGAATGGGAGAGTCGCCCCCATTCCTGGTGTTTTGACCACTTGCCCACACACACCATATGCCCACACACCACCGTCACCGTCCGGTGCCACGGACCCGCGTCCGGCGCGTCCGGAGCGCGCGCTTGTCGTCCCGAGGGCGGTGCGCATGGCACGTTGGAGGACGGTACGGTGCCGCAGCGACCGCTGCTGGCCATCTTCGGGCTCCGACTGGTGGAGACCAGCGAGGCCGGGACCACGATGCACGGGAGACAAGGTCCGGGAGCGAGGGTGAAAACACCGTGGGTGGGGGGGAGAACATGGAACGATGGACAAACATAGATATACATGCGCATATATGCGCATATAACATACTGCATGTCATATATGAGACAAGAACTGTTTGATGCTTTTCTTTCCCACTTCCATGTTGAGTGAGTTTCGCTGGAGAGACGAGGTTCCTATACAAATGGGGAAGGGCAAAGTCCGTCAGTAGCCATAGCCGTCAACCCAACATATCGGGCGACTGAAATACCCATGGTCTTTGAGTGGTAAGTCTTGAACCAGTTATACGCAATGAGAGAACAATGCGGAAGAACCTGCAGGTCTTCTGCAAACTAGCAGCTACTGGTAGCCAAAACTTCATGATGGAGTGAGTTAGATGCCAATAATTCACAATCAATCATCATGAAGCATGAGTAACCAAAATGGTTTTGGCTTCAGAACAAGGACATGTGACATGCACATGCTGTCCAACAAGAGTTACATGCACTAGTACATGGTCCGCTCGGACATCCCAGGCGCTGCCCAGCGACAACGCTGTCGCTTGGTTGGCCACGCAGTTCCTCCGCGCGCGCAGCGAGCGCGGCTCTGCGGCGCCGAACCCGGCAGCGGGTGCAGTTCCACCGGGTTCGGCACACTTCCGGCCAGTGGAGGCCAGGGAAGGGGATGGGGAGAGCGGATCTGAGGGGTTTTGAATGAGTTGGACATTCTTTGACGTGTTTCTTCTTTTGAATCACCAATTTGTGGAGAATGTCCCATGTCCATGTTCACTGCTGTTCGCTCTCCACTATGGGGTAGGGCATCTTGAAGTGATGCTTGATCATGAATGGAACGTATATACGGGAAACTACTCTAATCTCCTGGCCATCCCTACGAACGGAGCGATCGGACGCTACGAACGGGGCTCCTGGCCTTAGTAGCAAGGAAGCGGACCGGACGCCCAGCTCTACAGGCAGCTCCGGCGCTCCTTCCGGACGGCTCGTTGGTCCAATCCTGGCGCCCCAGTCGCCGACTGAGCGCGGGGAGCGGTGGCGGAACCGCTCCCACCGCGCGGAGGACCCCGCTGCGTGGCCCGGTGACTTGAAGGGGGGGGAAGAGGAAAAGGAGGAAGAGGAGTGGACTGAGGAAGTCGGTGCTATATGTGTTTTCTTGATGTGGACCTCAGAAGTGAGACAGACCCCCTACAGCAAGGAAGTCGGTGCATAATTCGTGGCATAGTGCATGTGTAATCAGGTAGGAGGACAGGAAATCTCCACTTGAAGAGTATACCCAGACACTCCATGTCCGGAGTGTAATAGGGGGACCTCCCAACCATTCACAACCGGGTTTAGGTCTGTTTTCCTGTCTTTTGGAGGTCTCCCTCTTCTGATTGTGGGTCTGATTTTATTTATGATTGTTTTAATTAACAAACCTGAGATATATAGAGATGTTTCATCATGTTTTTGCATGAATGATCTTGCTTCGATGAGTTCTTTTGGTGGTTTGTTGCTGTTATTTGGGATCACGGCACGGCACCGTCCAAACTTCAGGAGAACCAAGGGAACTCACACATGTCACGCATAGCTATAATTGGAGTGCACAAGCATCATCCAAAAGCAAAGTGCACCCTGGACAAAGGAAAACAGGTGATCCCAACATCAATCATGATCAAGATAAACCCACAGAAAAGGCCTTCACTTGCGCAGAGCATCCCTCGGTGAATCTCAATGATACTTGATGATACTTGTTCATTGTGAAGCTGCATCAAAACCATTCAAAAGCTACATCGCTGTTTAAGCCGAAATGGCTCATGCAATGGCTTTAATAGCTGCAGGACACACAGATTCGGGTCTCGTGTACACAAATTCCAAAGCTCTCAACCTTAGCCTTTACATGTCTTTACACGTCTTTACATACTGATAGCATGACTTCGCCCTGTTTGAATGTTCCCTGAGATTCCCCACTCCATCCACCGGCAAGAAACATGGATCCCCCGAGTGAACAGCTGAGGTGCGGTGGCCGTGGGCCCTATCAGTGAGATCCTTCAGGTAGCCGTTTTCGTCCTCGGTGGCCGTTCGTCCTCGGCTGCGGATGGAGGAAGATTGGGGAGTGAACGCTCCAACCACCATTGGTTGCTGGCCTGTTCTGGATTCAGATACGAAGATCATTTCTCATACGCGGAACTTCCATCAGAAATGGATCCATCAGACTTGGACTTCCATCCAATTCGCCCAAAGTATGCTCATACGACCGCATGGTCCCTCTTTCCAATCCCTTTGGGCGACACCTCAGGTTTTGAAACAAACACCGTCTAAAAGACACTCGCTGGTGGGCGTCACGTCGCGTGCGCCCGTCGCTGCACACGGAGCGATACGCAATACCGTGTACACCTCTGCGGGCTCAAGGGACCGCTCGGCTAGCTTGCGATCATGATTCAACATGGTCATCCTTGAGATCCCCGGAGTTCCTCGGTCAATATAGATGCTATAGGTCGTGTTTCAAGGTCACGTATAGAAATCCTTTCCAAAGGTCACGGGGAAGGACCTGGACATCTTATATTTGTCATATCAGTATATGTAGACAGCACTACTTGGCTATAAGTCGAGCAGATGTGAGCACGTGTCAACATTGATCCAGAACCTGGTGGTGCGTGTTCTTGACTCTATGCCCTTGTAATGCCTCTCATTGCCAAAGGAAGCTTGCTTTATGGTTTTCTGACATTTTTGCAAGAGTCCTTTCACACCTTGAAAGTGCTAAGCCCATGTGTTCCTTGCGCCACCCGCCCAAAGGATTCACCCAAGCGCCGTAACCTTGACTTCACTATATATGCGTACTGCGTCAAGAGCACCCATGGCTGAGCTAGGAGTTCCTCAAAGGACAGAGAGCGGGACAGAAAGAAACCTCGGCTTTCTTGTTTCTACTAGCTTCTTGTTACTACTAGTAAGGCACTTGTTACTAGAAGCGATGCACTTGTTCCTAGTAGCTTCCTTTGCTCCTAGAGAAACCTCGGCTTTCAGCAAGTCGGCATGTCTCGCTTTGATTCTGAGCACCTCAGGCATTCTGAGCACAAGACAGGCATCGTTGGTTTGTTCTCTCCGATTTCTGGGAGGGAAGAAGAACCCTAGCACCGATGTTCTCGTTCGGAACATTGGGGAGCGGGGTAGGCTACGGTAGGCCCTAAAAAAGAAACACCGAATTAACTGCAGACAGGGCAGTTGCCTTTAAAAAGCACGTCGCAAAACTACACGGAGGAGGACTTTGGAGATACCTGGACCACCTTGTTTAGCAGATGTTAGGACTCAACGACTCCAGCCAAGCTTCAATCAGCAAGACGGGAGTATGAAAACACATATATAAGTCTGGTGCTTTTGACGTGCCCCAGACTTCAGCTGCAGGAGCAGGATGTGACTAAGCACAAACCCTCAGCTTGCACTCCTGAAAGCAAGTGACCTAGCTGGTCTTTGCAGGATGATGGCCATGGCCGCCGTCGAGCCTGCAGAGTACTGGAGCCGTGTAAGGCGGTGCCGAAGAAACGAAGACGGAGCGCAACGGCCAACACAAGCGCGATGGGGATGTGAACTAGCAAGTTGATCTGAGGCTCTTAGTATGTGAGCTGAGGAGGTTTAGGCAAGTCTGGAGTATCGGTTTTGTCTTGTTTGAACATGAGTTGAGCCATTTCTGGATGGGTTTGGTGAAGCAGCACCTTTGTTTCCTTCAGTTGGGTCAAGAGCTGGCAACTCAGGAGTGTAAATCGCAGTGAAACCTCCAGCAAAACCAATCAATGATCATAAAACCCAGACCATCCATGCATGAAATAGCTACATACATCTCTCCCGTTTCTGACCGCAAGTCATGGCAGACTCCATGCATGACTGCTCGTTTGGGCATGACTGCGATGTTGCCAAAGCAGAGAGATCGAGATGTGGTTTTCAAGCGGTTTTGCCGAGCTAGGCTGCCCTGGGACGAGGGGTGACCCCCACCGAAACCGTTGAGCAGTTCGGTGGAGCGAAGCCACGCCGAAGCCGAAGCCGTTTGCAGGGCCCTTTATGCATCTTCTTGCGTGCCTGGGCAGGAAAGACACTGGGAGACATGTTTGTGGCTCGGTTTGCGGCTCGGGTTTCATACATGATCCTAAAGCTTAACTTTTCCTTACAGACTAGCAAACAACTTTGGAATTCCTGATCAAACTCAAGGCAACCCAAGGTGCCTTAGCTGCCTTAGCTGATAGTTGCCTTTCTGTGCCCAGAAAGGCTTGGGGGGTATTTAAGAATGACGTATAGAACTTGAAGCCAAACAATGAATCACAAGCAAACACGGACAGGCTGCCTCACTTCAAGGACGCTACCTCACCCAGTGGTCTCGGGACCACCAAGTTCAACAGGGTTTAAGAGGCCCGCGCTAGCGGCTAGCTCAGCTCAGCAGGTTGCCACCGTCATGGCCCAGGCGCCCAGTCGATTTGAAGCTGAGATTCGAAGGCCATCAGACGTTTCAAGGTCCAATTGGGGGATGACGTACTCATGCTCAAGTCATTTGATTCGGGGGAAGCTCTCCCTTTTGGATCCAACCACCTTGAGAAGGAGGTGGCTGCCAGAGTGGCTAAGGGCCACCCTGATGGTGCTAGGATGGGCGCTGCAAAGACCAAAAGCAGCGTGCAGCAGTGGCAGCTGTCCGGCGAAGCCAGAGCACCAACTACGCAGTGCATGAATTTGTTGCCCCTGCAAGTGACGGGCCCGGCGAACCCAAAAAGCAAGCAAAGCTTGTACACCCCATTTCGCTGCTGGGCTGAACATGCCATCAATGCTGCTTTGGAAACTAAGCAGCAGGTTGTCGACAGGCAATGCAGCCAAGCGCGAAGCGAAGACTTTCTTTCATTTGAGCTGTGCTGGTTGCCGACATCATGCAGACCTTGTCCTTCCTTTGGACAGAAAGCAAGGGCGAAGCGAAAGGCATGGTGAGCCGAAAGCACAGCCGAAAGCAACTGCAGTGTCCACGAGGCTTGGACAATAATGGGCCATTTGCAGCTTCAAATGCGAGACACGCTTCGATGCTGTCACTGCAGGAATGTTACAGCGCAGTTAGCAATAGAAGGGGCAGGGGCACCAGAGGTGGCAGAGGGTGGCAAAATGGTGTTTCAATAAATGGGGAGACCCCAAATCATCCATTGAATGGGTTGTTTAATCATAAACCCTTCCGTTTTGCGGCGCCCCCATTGATGAAAACCTAGGTGTTTCAGCCTCTTTGGCCCCTAAAACAATTGGACCGCCTCCCCTGGCCTCAACGGCTTCTCAATGAAGCCCCTTTTAAACGGCGGCTACAAACCGCCACATTTTGAAGTACACAGTCGCGGCAGAGGCGAAGGAGGGTAGTGCACGCCATTTCTAAATGGTGTGGCTACTTCTAAACAGCTGATCTTGCCCTCTTGACGCTGCTGCTTTGGCGAACTTGGCTGCTTGTGTCACATCCACGCTTGAGTTAGCGCTTCCGTTAGCAGTTGTATTGTTCAAGTGCTTCTGTCTATATAGCGTGTGCTCTGGAGACCGTTGAGCAAAAACTCCAGTGCAAACACTGGTGGGCAAGGGGTTTGTTGCTCTCGCCGTCCAGGCTTAATTGAAGTTGTTCAGTTCAGTTAGTTAGTCCTTCTACGGCGAGCACGCAAAACTAGAGCGCCCGTGGCGCGAGCACCAAGCCGGTCGGACAGCACCGAAGTCCGAAGTCTGCCTGCCATGGTAGGCTTTCCGTCAGCCTCCTTTTCCTCCTGCCTGCAAAGCATTAAAAGTTTCACCCTCCGATCTCTGTGCAGTGTTGGTTGACCATGGATAGAAAGTGTGCGTTCATTTGGGTCCAGGTTCCACAGGACAAAACTACCGTGCCCTGCTTTCCTCCCTCCTTTATTTTCACCTGCTTTCCTCTTGACCTTCCAAGGCCGTGATCCTTGGCAACGTACTGGAGTGGTACGACTGGACGGTCTTCGGCGGCTCGGGACGGAACGTCGTCCAAATGGCACGCTGAGCTGGCGGCAGAAACGAAGTGTTTTCGTTTACACAACTGACGAAGTGTTTGTCCCAAGAGAGTTCCACAGCTCCGGATATGGTGCAGATTCAGTTCAACTGCCCAATTTTTCGTGGAAGAGACACATCTTCTACCCTTGACAGACCCAACAGATGGACAACCATGGTATTGACAGTCACTAGGGGGGCCGCTCGTGCAGCTCGCACCTTGAGACGTCAGATGCCAGCGGAGCCCCTCTTGGATTGAAACCGACGGTCCTTTTCAATGCCGTTTCTTCTGTGGTTTGGTTTTCGTGTTCGAGTACGGGCGCCAACGGGCGGGTGTGGAGGTCTTGAGGTGGGTTCCTGTGGGTTGTGCAGCGTTTATGTTAGAGTCCTTCCAGAATGGGTGTGGACAAACTGGAGTTCTTAGGGAAATGTTCGGGGCGTGGCGTTTTGTGGTGTGGGAGCTTTTTCCCCAAACAGGTTTACCTGTGAGGGGTTCTTACTCCTTTTAAAGGGGTGCATGCTCGGGCCGGATGATTTTGAGTTTGTCTCCGGGCTTGTGTTCCTGGCCGCATGATTTCACCCTTGTCTCCCACTTGTCTCCCACTTGTCTCCCAGTAAGCTCTGGATGCTCTGAGTGCTCTGGCCGCATGATCTTGTCTCCCATGTGTCTCCCTGGATGCTCTCAGTGCTCTGGCCGCATGATTTTATACTTGTCTCCCATTTGTCTCCTACTTGTCTCCCAGTTGTCTCCCAGTAAGCTCTCGATGCTCTCAGTGCTCTGGCCGCATGATTTCAGGCTTGTCTCCCATTTGTCTCCCACTTGTCTCCAAGTAAGCTCTGGATGCTCTGAGTGCTCTGGCCGCATGATTTCACACTTGTCTCCCACTTGTCTCCCAGTAAGCTCTGGATGCTCTGAGTGCTCTGGCCGCATGATTTTATACTTGTGTCCCATTTGTCTCCCACTTGTCTCCCAGTAAGCTCTGGATGCTCTGAGTGTGCTGGCCGCATGATTTTATACTTGTCTCCCATTTGTCTCCCACTTGTCTCCCAGTAAGCTCTGGATGCTCTCAGTGCTCTGGCCGCATGATTTTATTCCCCAAACAGGTTTAGCTGTGAGGGGTTCTTACTCCTTTGAAAGGGCGGGCCGCGTGATTTTGCATGTGTCTCCCGGTTTGTGTTCCTGCCACACGAATGATGTTGCAGCTGTCTCTCAGTCTGAGCCGCATGATTTTACACTTGTCTCCCGCTTGTCACTTGTCTCCCTCGTCTTCCTGTCTCCAGTACACTCTGCTGCTCTGGCCGCGTGATTGTACACTTGTCTCCCACTTGTCTCCCTTGTCTCCCGTACTCTGGCTTGCCTCCCCCTTGTCTCTCCCTGTCTCCAATACACTCTGGGTGCTCTGGCTGCATGCTTTTGCACTTGTCTCCCACTTGTCTCTCCTGGTCTCCAATACACTCTGGGTGCTCTGGCTGCATGCTTTTGCGCTTGTCTGCCTCTGGGTCCTCTGGGCCGCATGAGATGTTTCCTCTGCCTACTCTGGATACACTTGTCCGGATGTTTGTTTTTACACCTGTCTCCACTGGTCTCCCACTTTTTCGGCCTACTTTGGATTACACTTGGCCGGTTGCTTGTCTTCTTGCTTCCATGCTCTCGGTTGGATGAGTTTACACTTCTCTCCCTGCTTGTCTCCCTTCTTGCTTCACTTGTCTCCACTTGTCTCGGCCTGCTCTGGATACGCTTTTACACTTGTCTCCGCTTGCCTCTTCGCCTGCTCCCTGCTTAGACACTCTTGGCCAAGTGGCTTTACGCTGTCTCACTTGTCTCCCTGCTCGTCTCCCTTCTTGCTACACTTGTCTCCACTTGTCCCCGTGCTTGTCTCCCTCGCTTCTTCACTTGTCTCCCTTCTTGTGTCCCTGCTTGTCTCACATTTTGGTTGAAAGCTTTTAACATCTTTTAGCCAAACAATCATGATAAAACCACATGTCAGTACAACTCAGCATATTCAGTAGATTTGCGTTCTATTTTCGTCTGAATTGTCGGTTGTGACCTTGAGCCAATTGAGCCAAGTGCTGAAACAAACCCAGAAGGTCCGAGTTGATCACCGCGAGCTGGAACGGTTTGAGCCGTTGACGGTTTGACAGTTCGTCTCTGTGGTTAACTTCATAAACGCACAAACTGTTTGGGGTCTACGCTGGTATAATTGAGGCTATATGCAGGACATCATGAAGCACGTATTTGGCTCCGGCAGTGGAGAGCAGGCGTGATTCGGGGGGGAGAGGTCTGCCAGCAGTTGTTTTGACATGGAAACCATCGTTGGGCATGAGCGAGGTTGAAACCAACCTGAATGCAACAAAGCAGCTGGGCAAAAAACACCTGCAATGCAACATTTGATGATCAGATGAGATGGTCTGAATTTTTCACACCAGTTGTTGAGGCCAGTGTTTCGCTCAGTGGTTTCGGTGCACGGTAGCGGCAGCGTTCCAGTTTGTGGAAAGACTGAGCCACATGACATATGTTTTTGGCAACCGACATGATTTTGCCCAACCCTTAACTTATATAATTGTGGATGTGATTTGATGCTGTTGTATTCCCTGAAGTCACATCCGGACCAACATGGGGGAGGTGCGAAATGACGTGCAGAGACTTGTGTTGAATGTACGCAAATTTGATTCGATTCGATATATTGACGTAGATCCACACTGGTTTTTACAGCGGCACACCGGGCGTTTGTTGCATACACTTGTTTAGTTAATACCTTGGCGTTCATTCCAATGAACTTTTGACTGATTTGGTCCAACGCGGCCCATGTGGGCCTGTGGGCCGCCTGCGGACGCCCGCGGACGCCATTGATCGAGGCGGACGAAGAATCGAATCGAACAATTTCCCCCGGCCCTCGCAACACCCACTGGATCTTCCACCACTTCCAACGCTTCCATCATGCGGGTCGGGTCTGAACAGGGGCCGAAAGAGTCGCTCGCAGCGAGCGAACGAGTCGCGCCAAGTTGTTGTCCACCGCGTCGGTTCGGAAGACTCCGTTCGAGGCTTGGCTACTCTTCGCAGTACCCTTCCTGGCTCGGCCCTTGGGCAGTGTGCTCTTCGGATGGCGGCTTGGCGACACCGGATGACGGATGAATCGGCGTGCTTCTGGAGGTTGTTTCGGACGGACGTCCCAGTTGGCCAACTGCAAGTCGTTGGGAGTCGTTCACCATGACGGTGGCACTTGGCACTTATTATAAGAATCGCCACACGTGGGTCGCTTCTTGCCATGGGCAGCACTTCCTTCTTCTACGGCCGTACGGGCCGGCGAGCCGGCACCGCTCTTCTTCCAAGCCTTCCAACTTCCCTCCGTTCGAGAACGCAGGATCGGAGACGCCTGCGGCCGCGCCGTCTCTTTGAAGCTGGCGATTTGGGGCATGGCGATTTGCACCGTCCTGCAAGGCTGCCTGGTGCCCGACAGCCCAGGCAGAGTAGTGTTGCGGCGTCGCGGCATATGATGACATTGATGGTGGGTTTGGGCATGAAGGAATATAATGACAGTGTTTCTACATCATCTCTGCTTGCTAGGCTTGATCAAACATACCAAATATCCCATATACCTACCCTTTTATCAGCTCAACATTAAGTACCATGAGCCTCCCATCTCGGGCCAGGATTCTATAGGAAGTTCTCATCACTCCTGCGCACAACGACTGGTACCAACGTGCTGATAGATCACCGTCTTTGAGCTCCGAAATGTGCCCCGACGACTGGGCAGACCATTCCAGTGCCTGGCTACAGGTTCATGCAGGGTCAGTTGTTGGGCCTCGTGAGACAACCCGAATACGAGACATATATAATCTCATATAACCTCAATAATTATAAGCTATAATAACAATTATTATATACTGGAGGCCATTGGGTGGATTTTGCCTGTCACCCTACTCATTGCGAAATGAACGCCCAGTCTGCAAGACAGCGCCCTTCGACTCTTTCGCGAATCTATCCAGCGCGCCCATATTATGGAACCTAGCTTATATTACAAGATTCAAGATCCAACATGCATTCGACCCGACCATGGAAGTTGAAGGCATGTAAGACCCGAGGTCCCTTACTCGGTCACTCCAATGGCGCCGTCAGGTGTCACCGCGCAGCTGGCAGTGTTAAGGATCTTCACGGGGCTCTCGGCAGGCACGGGGCGTGGAGCGTTGGAGTGTTTGGAGCGTTTGGTTTCAGGGAGGGTGGCTGCTTCGAAGAGATGTGATGTCCTCCCATGTGGGAGGACCAAACTGGAAAACCGAATGCACAAGGGGTCGAGATGCGGGTACTCTTTTGTGTGGCAAACACGTGTGATTGTGAAGTCTGTCAACTGAGAGTGGCTTGGAATCTTATCTACTTTCTTGTAGGGGTAAGGAGCTGCTACCCGATGTGTAACCACCTCACAGAGGACCCCAAACTGGTACATCGAATTCTCGGGTCTTATTTTTGGAGTGAACTCATTGTACTGCATTCATCTTCATTCTACTCTCCTGCCCCAAATTCGGTGGTTTGTTTCCTAACCTTGCCGATCCTTGGTCCGGCATCCTTCTCCCCGATGTTCCACGGTGTCCCAGACCAATCTCCTCCGAACGCAGGCGGCGAGTCGGCCGGAGTGAACACCTACATGTCGGAGATCGGCGACGAGGCGCGCGTTTTGCGAGCGAGCGGCGAGGAGCCTGCGAACCGCGCGCGGCGGTTGGGGGCGCCCTTTTTCTCCCGAGTCGGGCGCGCCTGGGGGAGGTCGGTGTGTCGGGGCAGTTGGAAGTTGGGTTTTCAAAAGTGTTTTTTTTCCTTTTTTTCCTGTGATTTGTCGGATGGACATGGATGGAAACAAAAGCGGGTTGGTGGGATGGGGGTGTGAGGGGTTGCACAAAAGTGTACCTTTTAGCATCTTTTAGCAGATTGAATGGCATGAACATATCGGCAGAATCATTCCTAGAGTCAGTTTTCTTTTTTTAAAGCATACTTCAGATTAAGAAAACACATCACATGTATTCACATTTGTTCATTACATCATATTACATCATGTTCCCCCATAGTCACTGAAAGGATGGTGTCTCTTGTGGGTTGTTGAGAGGCCTAAAGAGGGGAATGTGTTGATATGTGTTGATCATCCCTCATTGACTCTTGGTTGTGGCTGGATTTAAGGGTCTGGGTTTTGCACCAACACGTCTTTTCGCACATTGAAGTGGAGGACAAATTGTATATATAATGCCCACCAATGACAAAAGCGCAAGTTCTATCTAATTACTGTAGAATGGCTAGATGCCTTGATATATCTTGATATGCATGTTCGTGAAGTGGTTTTAACCAAGGCCAGCTGTTGAGCCCAGAGAAGCACTGCCCTAATCACTGTCAGGGCCGGGAGCACACGTTGGGGGCTGCCATCGGCGTGAACAACCTGAGTGGCCGCCTGTGGCGATAAAGGGGGGAGTCTGGCTGCTGCAACTAGGGTACGGGGAGAAGTGCTTGTTATACTTGCATGCAATACCAACAGAAACCAACATGAGGCAAGTGAATGGTCCGTACCTCCATAATAAGGTGTTTGACGTGACCGTGCGGTCGTGCGGTGGCGAGATGTCTATCATGTCCACCCAGGTCTCCCTGTGAAGTTTCTACCATGGGTGTGGGTATGTGTGGGTCGGTGATTCGAGGTCAACAGCTACTTCCGAGATGGATCACCTCTAAGGATTCCTCCCAAATCCGGAATCTCCGACAGGTGGTCGAGCCGAGCGAACCGCCAGCTTAACGGCTGTCCGGGACACCTTGAGGTTCTTTGGCCTTCCTCCTGGCGAACTTGGTCTCGCTCTTGGTGCATCTCTTGCCTTGGGAGGACCAAGTGGCTCCTCGGCCCCCGTATCAGACCCAGCAGGTCCAGCAGGTCCACCAGGTCGAGAGGAGTCTAGAGGAGTCCAGGCTTCAGATAGCGCTTGCTACGAATTCGGAGCGATCGGACGCTACGAACGGAACAAAGGGCATCGCAACTAGGAACAAGGATGCTACGAACGGGGCTCCTGGCCTTACTACTATAAACAAGAACGCGACGAACGGAGCAAAGGGCATCGCTACCAGATCCATACCACGATGCTTTCGGAGCCCCGCCGATGCACGGTCAGCCGGGACCCCACCCCACGCCCTGGACGTCCCCAAAACCCCGCCCGCCGAGGCTTGGGGTTGGCGGGTGCCGTTCCTCCTGGCTGCACCGCTGGGGGTGGCATCGATCCTCTTAAGGAGGTGCCATGCCATACCCATGGACAATGTCATGGCCAAGTCATGGCCATGTGTTTCAGTTTTTTCGTCTCTTCACCGCGGTATGCGGATACGTCGTGTCTGCAGCAAGTTGCGGAAGGTTTTGGGACTTGAAGGGTTTACGGCATCACCTTTGGGCTCGTTTACATGTAATGACAGCTACCTCGCCTTTGCTCACCAAGACTCGAGTTCCTCCGCGCCTTTGTTCAGACGTGCCAGGCATGTGCCAGAGACCGAGGCTTTTCGCAGGAGAGAGCAAAGCTTGAAGAGAGAGATCTCTAAAATCAGGCCATATGTGTAGAGAATTGTCCTCATTTGACCACGCAACATGCCCCCTACAAACGTGGTCAACAGGAACGACCCTTTTGTTTCAGCCCAGCTGTTGCGCATGCAGTTGGTGTTTATACATATATGCTTTCACACCCAGCACTCGTTTTTATGTCACGTTCGGACTGCAAGGTTCTCCGTCTTGGACCTCGGATCGAGCATTCCATCTGTGTTGCGCGTGCTCCGCACGGGACCCGGGACCGCTCCGCACAGTTCCCAGGAGGCGCGACGCCGAGAAGTCGGAGACCTCGTCGGACGCCGTGGAGATCTCGTCGTCCGAGTCGGAGCAGCCGTCGTCCGACGAGCCCAAGAGGGTCCCCGCGAGGCGGCGGATCAGTGGAACATGGGCACCGTGGGAGACACGGTGAGAAATCGTGTTGATGGTGGCTTGGGTGAGAAGAACCAGTCGTAGCAGGTGATTCCAAAGATGACATTGGGCTGGACCGTCCGAAAACGGCTGTGCTGATATCTCTTTCTTTCTTAGATTTGCTGGGATTCATTGGACTGTTTGTGGCAGAACGGAGGGGACGTAAGGAGTTTGTGTACCACTACTCTTTTGTTCAGTGCTGTGATTCATAATGCTTCATATGATTGTTCCTTTGGATTTCTTTCATTGGGCCGCTCCTTTTGCTCCGTATGATCTCAATGACATGATGCTGAATTGTGTGGACTTCATAGAAGGTTTCCTCAGTTTCAGCAGGATCAGCCACCTGCTCTGTGCAACTGTGAATTTGGCAACCTGATGAGTTTCAGCAGGGCAAGTCCGGATCGATGAACTGGAGTTCTCCATGATTTTCCTCCTCGATCACACGGCACGGCACCGTGCTTGCCTTTTCCAGTAGCAGGTTGAAACAGATGGATCCCCATCCAACAGATCTGCTCCTCCAAAAAAGCAGTGCCGGTTTGGAAGGCGCCATAGCCTTCCCACACGTACACACACTCCCTGTTTGACCCCAAAACGCACCCGACTGACCCCACTGACCGACCTTGCTTTGGTCTCCTCCTCACCGTCTCCTCACGAAAAACCCTCACCCTCTCGACGTCTGGCAGAGGTGGGGACCCTGGACTTCTCACTTCTATCTACTTCCGCTGGTGGTCCTGGTCCTCTCAGCAGCACCTCGGAACTTCCGGCGAGGCCGTCGGAGTCGGTTTCGTCCGTGTTGCGGTTTCTGGGCGGTTTCTGGGCGGTTTCCTTTGAAGCCAGGTGAGGCGGGCTTGAAACAGTTGGCCTGGTCATCATTGTTTTGCAAGGATTCTCCTGCAGGTGTGAAAAGGGGTTATATAACTCTGCGACAATGTCCACGCAACATTCCGGGGCGTGGGTAGAGAGGGCTACCATGGGTTTGCCCTGACTAATTATTTGGCAGTGGAAGCAGACAAAAGATTTGGACCCTTCGGGTTGGTCAAAACACCTTGATCATCTTATAATGGGTTTCATGCCAAATGTTATGTTACTATGTTGTTTTAATCTTGTTTGTCTCCCTGGCCATGCTGTTGGCGAAGGTCTCAGGCTTCCTGAGCCCGCAGCGTTCCGCTCATCGCGTCGCGCCTTCAAGCGGAATGAATGCACGACATGCGTGACACGAACGACATGAACGACCTGAACTGAGCGAATGACGTCTCCGAGGTCAATAGCTGCAACTACTTGCCGATTTACTTGGTCTCCTGGCTTGAAGAGGTGGGCTGTACAACGCCAACGCTCCCGGTGTGGGCCGGTCGTTTCTTGGGTGCCCGATAAGGGAACCTTGACAACGTGGGAGCTCGGTGTTTGGCTGCAAAGCGTGCTCTCTTTTTTTAGACCACTTCCGACGGTAAGTCAGTGGGGGACGCTTGCGCAGAGTTTCGCAACTGGGAACCCAACAAGGCCAGGCCAGTTGAGCTATGGCCTGCAGCCTGCGTGGTGTGCAACCGTAGTAGTACGGTGGTCGCACCATCTAAAATTGATTGCGTTGATGACTGTGACGAGTTTGATGGATGCAAGTGCAAGCTATTCAGCATTGGATAGCGTCTAAATCTAAATGAGGTCGTTCATTTCTTGGCACACGCTTGTTTTTCAAGGAAGTGCGATAACTAATCTTATGAACCACCAACTAGTGTTGATTATTGATAAGCATGGAATTCTTTTACCATTGATAAGCATATGAAACGGGATGCTGAAGTCTTTGAGACTGGTCATCGATTTGTACAATTACTGTATGGCAAGGTTTCGCATGTCCTGCGGAGCAGGATGTATGTTCACGCGCTTGCATGCGTCATGGTGTACTTCTTTTGGGTGAGGATTCAACGTACATATTTTTGAATAACGCATGACCACTGCGACTCCTTTCAATTTGGTCAAGGCGGCTTTGAAGCTGGTTTGGCCACAAGTTGGGGTGCAAGAATATTTCGGAGTTTGGCCATCCGTCTGCTGTGTGCTACGTTGAGCTTCCTGTGAAACCTGATATAATATAAGATAGAAGCAAAGCAAAGTGAATATTTGCAGGACTCAGGAATACCAAAGAAACGTCCTTGCTTCCTTGCTTCCTTTCTTCCATTTCGCAAGTAGCATTGCAAGAGCAACTGCGGGCAGCATGAGACTTCAGCTACGGCCATCGTTAGGCCAACCCCGGTCCTGCTTGTGAGAACCGAGCAACTTCCGTCCCGGGCCGCGGCAGGAAGCGCAGTTGACGCCTCCTCAGGCGCTGAGCATCTCAGCCTTAGCCAAGGCGGGACGTCGAGTGAAGTGCTGAACGTAAAAGCGAAGGCTGCGGAGCGGAGCGTGTCGGTTCGTTTGTGGTTGTTTCGCTGAAAGAACATGCGCAGGATGTGATGGGTTGCATGGGAAACAGTTCACCGGTCCTTCCTAAGCTTGTTGAACAATCGATAGGGAGAACGAGGGAGAAGAGACCGTGCAGATTTTTCAAGGGCCTCGGAGAGCTACAGTAACTGTTGAATGAAGGGCATGCTTCAGTAGAGAAGATGGTTGTCCCTCGATCTATATAACTCTGCTTCTACTGTTGACCAAGATGCACATGCATATTCTTTTTGTCACCAGGGTGGCGGTTGCACGCATGCTTTGGAAATTAAACCCACTATTCAATAATTAGTTCGATTCTTTTTTAAAATCAGGCACCTGAGGCTGAGAAGACCTCTTGTGCCAGTCTAGTTTTGGTGCGACTGAGATGTTGATTGACAGTAGCTGAAGCACAAGACAGAGGAGTCCTTTCCACCGTCCAACAGTCCATTTCTTATTTCTCGCTCGCTTCCCAGCCTTGAGCTGTACCACCAATGGATATACACAGCAAAAGAGTCTGGGAGCTTCCAAGCTTAAAAATACGTTTGGAGTGTGTTTGTAGCCCTGGCCTCCCATGCACCCAATATATGGCAGCTTTTTCGTTGCGAGAGCAGAGAGTAGCTCGCGGTTACTCGCTGCGAGCGGCCAGGTGGTGCAGATGCTGATGACCTTCCCAGCATCCTTTGCCACCGATCTCTTCGGCACCACCAAGGCACCACCATGGCGTCTCGAGACGAGGAGGGGAGGGCAGATGGGTCAAATGGGTCACGGGTGCGTCACTTCGACTGGACTTGGTTTTGGGAGGTTCGAACGTTCTCCTTAAGACTTTGAAGCAGCAAGACAGCCCAGAGGAAGGGATTCCGTGAGATCAGCTGCGAAAAAAAGGCCCAAATCACTTCACTTGTGAGGTCGGAGGGAGGAGCCATAATCAGTAACGCTAATGGTGATAGCCAGGTGAGCAACTATGAGAGTACATTCATGCACATCCAGTTCATCCAGTTCCCTACCACCACAGTTCACCAGGCACCTCAAGCGGGTGGGCCTCCCAGCTGAAGATCCACCAGACCCATACCCGGCGGGGAGGTCATGTTGCTGGGTGGCTCGTCTGTGGCTGTGGCGGCAGTCCCGCTGCTTTGGCGCCTGGGATTTTCTCAAAGGATCCGCATGAGGAGACGGCGAGACGATGTGTTCCAGAGATATCTATAAAGAGGAGCCCCCAGGAGTTCAACCCATGTGACTTCAGAGAAAACTTCACCCATGGGTCCCATTGGGTTCATGCTTTTGGGGCAAGTTTCCTCGTTGGACACACCTGGATTTCTTCCGAAAGTTGTCGACTCGACCGTATGGAACTTTAGGAGATGATCAATTTACAAATAGACATGCGGAACATTGTGACAGAATTTTAAGGGCTTTGTCATATATAGTTGAAACATGTTGAAACAAGTTACACGACTTCCATTTCCCTTGTTTCCTTGGCATTCCTTGACCAGGATTCTTCTTCGGTGAAGACGGGAAATCACCCAAAGTATCGTGACCTGAAATCTCACTGGGGTGCTCCGGAGTTGAGTCCATCCTCAGCCTGTCATAGACAACTAGAGAGCCCTACACCGCGCGACAGCAAGAGTCATCCCATCCCTCCAGCCCACGGCCATCTAGCTCAAGGTCACAGAAAGCGCAAGACGGGTGCGCATGCACCCAAAACGGTTGCGATCCAACTTTATAGCCAGAAACAGGTTATAGACAGCTGGATAGCCAGGCGTCTGTGTCTCGGAGCGCTGCCTCAGCGGATGACCCTGGGTTCAGCGGAAGCTTCAGCAGAAGGGAAGGTAGATGAAGACCGGGGCATGGTGATGCTTAAGGTGAAGAATTGCAAGCATTGTTAGAATCTCGAATGTTTCTGTGCAATGTTGCAAGCCCATCTCGAGCTCTACCATTGCGGTGACCATGTGTTTTTAGCAGACCCAAAGCTGACACAGAAGCAGAACAACCCCCTGTATCTCAGAATCATTTAGTTTGTGAGGACCCTCCACCCTCAGCCCTCAGATTGAACACAGCGTTCCCGCCGATATGACATCGATGCGGACGACGGAACCACGTCGATCAGAACTACGCCAGCTGTTGCACCCACCAAAATTGATCAATAACTCCTCAGGTTGACGATGGCCTCCAGCACTGTAGGGCTTTGGCCAGCCTTTCTGATTCTTGGAGTCTTCTTACCAGTGCCTGGTGCGAAGGGGGGGGCCGCTTGTGATCCCCCAAACCCTGGTGCTGCCCGAAGTCCGACATAGTTGTGGGTGGACTTATGTGGACGGCGTGCGTTCGGGCTGAAGACGGCAGCCATCCAAACCCCTCAGCAAAGGAAAAAGAGGCCTTTCAAATCGTTTGAGCTATCTACAACAAAAATGAGCAAATAGATTCAGATGGTGACCCGTTGGGATGACCACATATTACAACCATCCATGTCACATGTCTGTTCTTTTGGTGGTTCGCACGCAGGGATTTGCAAGTCCGAGTTGGTGTGATGTTCGAAGGGGTGAGGTTTGGTTGAACAGGGCTTGCGGCTTGAGATAGACCTCGAATCGGCATGGATTGGTTTTTGGGAGGGTGCTTTTCAGTGCGTGTCTTGTTGCCTTTCTGTGTGGTTCTTGGAGAAGGTGCAATGGATAGACATATGACATCATATGACATGATATGACGTACGTATGCTATACCCTAGCTCCCAAATACTATCTACGAGTGGATATATAGCTCAGAGAAACCTCAACACGCACAGTTGCAGTTATCCTGGAGCAAACAGAACATGGAATCACAACTATTCCCAATTTTTTTTCTGAACTGTTTCACATGAATTCTATCTAAAAATCTATACTTCAGGAGAACAAATCACACACAAACTGATGACATGTCATGCACCAACCGGACAAAAACGACCTGACTCAACCCCCTTCACCCCATCGCCTACCTGCGACTCCAGACGCGTGACGACGCGTCCGGTCACGTCCGGTTCGCTCCGGTGCGCGTCGAACAGCGGTTCGACGGATGGAGGTCGTCCAGAGGTGCTGATCTCCATCTACCTGGTCCCTTCGAACCTCTTCATGACCGCTGTCTTCCCAACTCTTCTGCGCGCCAGAGCCTGCGGGATCTGTCGGAGACTGAGGGCAAAGCCAAGGGGGATTATACACTCAAGTACAGGTCCTTCTTGAGCAACAAGAAGCATGCGTCTCGTTCCATGGTGTAAGCCATGCTTGAAGACGTGTGCAGCAAAAACAGGATCAAAGGCATAGATAGGAAGGCGAATCGAATTCTGGAGCGGTGCGGAATTGCGCTGTTTTTTGCCTTGAAGGAGCTCTAATGGAAACACCAGCAGCTATGTTCAGTTGGCTTATTCAGTCTGAGTCTGGGGTTTCGTCAAGCAATTCCATGTTGTTCAGTTATGGGTTCATGTTTTTGTTTTTTTTTAAGCATCCTAAACAGCAGCATCCGTGCTGTTTTGGTCAATGGTCCCACCAGCAGCATCCGTATTCGGCCGTGGGGGGGCGGGGCGATCCTCGAGGCCTGGGACTGGCCTCGATTACTGGTGGGTTGACGCCCATGATCGCAGCTGGGGTGCAAGGATTTGGGGGTGAAGAAAGGCACACATGTTGTGAGGGAAGAAGGCACGTCTGAAGTGACCATATTGTAAACATGTAGCAATGTAGCATTATGATGTCAGGAATTATATCATTATATATAGAGTACGTAATATGATCTAATATGGTGACTATGTGATACTATATGGCCATAAGTTCAAGTTTCATCATTTGCCAATGATCACAGGGAAGAGGGGCCGTGGATTGAAGAGGCTGCGGGCTGCGGGTGCTGGCTGCGTCGAGAGAAACGCTCGCTCCGCCCACTTTTGAAGGCCTCTCAACTCGCCCAAGAAGGACGGCTATGGCCAGGTGGGGCGGGTCATGGTTCCAAGAAGGAATAGCAGCCTTTGCTTCTGAGATTCTGGGTGTTTGGAAGGATTTAGGCGAACAAAAAGACTTCAGGCAGGTCTTGTTTGCATTGTCTTCTTTTCTTGCCTGCTTCTTGATTTGCTTCCTCAAAGGACTTCTTTGCGATGGCCTGCATCTCACGTCAAATCCCCTTCACAGCGTTACAGCGTCACACGTGCAAGGTGCATTCATCTATTTCCTCACGCTGCCCTCCCTAGCAGTCTTGCTTTGGAGCCGCCAGAAGGGCCGTTTGGCTGTCTATCAAAGGCCATGGCTCTTCTGAGGAACCGGACGAGTTCGCACTCCGCTGAGTCGTGGTGGGGCCGGCTCATGTGATCCGATCGCTACGAGGCACTTTGGATCCATTTATAGAGTACCAGTGAACCAAAAGCCACAACAGTACACATGAAAAGATCTGTTGCACGTGTAAAAATTCTGTCGAAAAATCACCAAAGAGCTGATCAGATCTTGTGAATGGCACCATTGGCAAACACATGCTGAAAAGAATTGCTTGACACGGTTCAATTAAGATACAGTAACGAAGCATGACTGTGAGTTACAATTTGTTCCGGTTCCTCTCAATGGGCCCGCCCGATCTCCACTGCTGGGCTTAGTCCCACCGTGATTGGTGGCATCTCGATGTGCTGCAGATGAGAGATATTCTTTGGAGCTGGGCAAATTGTTGTTTGTCTTTGCATGAAATTCAATTCACGTCACTTGAGAACTATTAGATACAACATTCATCCAGTTATAGATGACATGTCGTGTCCTATTTACAGCCTTCGGCATGCCGCCGGCCACCAGCTCGAGCCCGCATTGGCAGGCAGCCTAATGATGCTTATTAACAGTGTTCCACAGTTCTATTTTCGTTCCAAGGCAGGGACAAGATCACCTCTTCTAGGCTGAAGCAGCTATATAATCCGGCACGTCTCTTTGATTCAACTCGCTTTTTCCTGTTCTCGCCATGGCCTAGTCTGAAGCAACCGGGGCAGGGCAGGCTGTCGAAACATCCGCGCGGAGAAACAAACCGTAGATTGAAACCAACCGTAGATTGAAACCAATGGAAACCAACACAAGCCAGACGAAGCAAGACAATCCACAAAGCCGGTACTTGAAAATGAGTCTTCTTCCAAACTACTTGGCCTTTTGCATGTTTTCCTTGTCAGATCTTTTTTTCGACCGTCTTGAGGAATTGCGAGTCGCACAAGATATTCTTTTTCACATACAGAAGGCTTCAAAGCGACCGACGAATTTCTTGATCTGGCATGATTTGTCGTTTTTTCCTCCAAACCGTTCGAAATGAAAGACCCAGAATGACATCGAACAACAATACCCTGCTCAATCATACTTGTTGGTGCATTGGAGTTGCACATTTGGCTGGGTGAGTTTGTTGATGTTTATTTCAAGGTTGTTTGACCATGAAATGGAACGAATCCGAATCAGAGGTTGTCAATTCTGATCCAGCGATCGACATGTCTCAGTCCAATCACCTTAGACGTAGAGAGGGGGGGGGGGGCCTCAGGCTGTCGAAAAATCCGCGCGGAGAGACAAACCGTAGGTTGAAACCAACACTAGCAATACTAACCAAAACAATCCACAAACCACGCCGGCAGGCCGGCGGAGTTTCCACATTATGGACGTTTCTTTGTCAAGATTAATCCATAGTTTGGGAGCCCTCTATAACAACAGTCTTTTACGAACGATCAGACGCATCTCAGACCCTGCAAATTCTGTGGAGGTATGACATGTACAGACTGTGAGTGCCACATTCACGAGCGTCGAGCTTCTGACACAAACTACCAGGAAATGAGCCCATCCATTTGGTGGGTCGGGAAGTGTTACGAAGAGAGGATGCTCTTCTAGAGTTCACTAGACATGCCCAGCACTTTGAGGCAACTTCAACAGTTCCTGAAAATGCGGGACTGGCCTTTTTCTGTGTTGGCCCAATGGGTTTCCTCACGGCTGGCGGTGGAAGACGAGGTGAACAAAACCATGGGTTCACGACCTGAAGTACGTGCAGTTTGGAGGGCATGCGGCCATGATTGCACGAGGATCGCCTCCTATATCAACCGTGTGGTGTTGAGGTAGTTTTATAGGTTGGGTAGCTCAAGTACGGCCGCTCCCGAATCTCGTTTCCTGAAGCAGCAGCCTGCTTAAAAAAAGGCTTGAGATATGAGTGAACGTTTCTTTCTTTGGTTGCCCTGATCCCTTACCACAAAGCTTTGTTAAACCCCAAAAAGAGAACCAGACGAGAAGCAGTCTTCCAGTCAAGTTGTTGGGTGGGCATGGATGGGGGGGGTCGAGTTAATACCTTAATGTTTGGGTCATATCAGATTGTCCTTTTCAACTCACTCTTATTTAATGTTAATCTTATTTCAGTTTTAACGTATAAGGAGTTTGATTTGACTCAATCTACTTTGATCGCACTCCACCGTGAGCCTTTCGTTCACCCCCTTGTACAGCGTGAACTCTGCCGGCGTGGCGGCCGGGGGACTGCGTCAGGGCACCGTGGCAGACGAGGTCAGACGAGGTCAGACTGGACCCCAACAGGTGGATTCTGAGCGCGGGGTACTCCGCAGAGGACCACATGGAACCCCCAAACGTGGTCGGGTGGGTATTCGGAACATCGTCGAATCGTACGGGTCAATTCTCAGGTTCTGTGTGAGTTCGTGGGGGAGTACAACGCAATATCGGTTGGATGGGCCCAGGTCTTGCACCGTCGTTCAGTGCAACTATACATTTTTTTTCTTTTTTTAACGCCGTTCATGTCGTTCAGGTTTCCAGAAGGCCATTGGTCGAACGGTCTATAGGTGTTTGGTTGATCGTTCCCAATTTAGCTGTATATAGTTGAGCGTGACCGGTCACGGCGGTCGATCCTTCGTGGATGGCGCTTGGGCACCGACCGCGTGCGCGGACCACCCACGCCGGGCCCGTCCTCCGCATCGGTGCCGGTGCTCGGCCCGGTGCTCTGCCCACGGTGCTCGGCTCCGATCGAATTAGAGGAGCTTTGTCTCAGGGAGGCTCCTGAAAGGTCCCGATCTTGGGGCCTTCTTGGGATCCCTCTTTTTGAGAATGCTCAAGCTGAGCGAAGCCGCAGAAGTGAAGCTTTCAGGTTCCAACTTCGCTGCGGGAAACCGGTTGCTGGGATTCGGAGGGGACTGGGATGACCGCCACCTGATCGAAACAGCAGTCGAAACAGAATTCATGTATCACTCCCTTTCTTGGATAGTAGAGTCTCCATCGGGAAGATGAATGAATCCATTCAATCATCACCATCCACTGCAGAATCATCCCGGATCTCACAGATCAAGATGAACCTCTCCACTTGGATGGTGTGTTCAACCTGCAAGTCACCCTGGGTTACTTGGTGACGCAAATCCTGGACAGACCAACGCCTCAAAACAACCTGTTCATATTGGTCACTGAAGTAGATTGGAAGAATTCACTGTTCATCACTATTCACGCAGAATCCTTTGAAGGTGATATCTTGAAATATATGATGCTATGAGTTATGACAATCTTGTGATTACCTTCTCTGCTTTTGATACTTCACGGATCTTCACGGCAGCACCCGAAACCAGATGCCCTGACCTCCACCAAACCCTTGTGACTTGACCAGGCCCAACACGGCCTTCATGCCCCTGAGCTACGATCACCATCGGGGCAGGCCGACCGAGAGAGCGAGAGAGAGAGAGAGAGATGGCCCCCAACATAGAAGCAATCGCCTCCAACCCAGAGAGAGAGAGAGAGAGATAGAGAGCGAGAGAGCGAGAGCGAACGAGCGTTCCCTTCGCGTGATTGTGGAGGTGCTAGAATTAAGGACTGTGGACATGTTCGGGCTGTAGAAAGGCCTCTCAGGACTTTCAACATGTCCCTATATATTTTTGAATAACCATGAAAACTATTCGTTTGGAACATGGGTGAGTGCAAAGCTGCACACTTGAAGATTGGTACATACAACCCCCACCCTCTATTATTGGAATTGAAGATGATTGAAGCAATCGAATGTTTTGGGCACCCATGAGCCTTGACCTGCATACATGCGGCCAGGTGGGATCCGTCACAGTCCGAACTACTGGAATGCTGGCCCAAGCAGTCCCACTTCCCTCTATTTCATCTGCATAAATCTGTGGTTCAACAGGTGTGGCTCAAACAAGAAGACCTGGAGACTCATAGTTTCTGATCCTTTTACCAATGAATGACTGGATTTGAGTCATAGCCATGTCAGTCGTTATCAGAATCCGCTGGACTCATGGCAAGGGGCACATCCTACCCATCTCTTGCATTGTGCTCTATCGTATCTCTTCAGCTGTTTGCGTGCCGCGTTTTGGGGGAGAAGCGCGTGCGTGCCGCTGGTCCTGCAGTCTGTGAGGGAGTCTTTCAGAAGCACCACCCCACGGAAAATCAATTCCTCACTGGGACGCTTGCATGACTTGGTGACCAACTATAGTCCCATTTGCAGGGTGTCTTGCATATCCAGTATTGACATGTTTCGACTCGTTTTTGATTCTTCAAATACTGGCACATCACATGAGTCAACCACGACTTGCCCAAACAAGGAATTTTTGAAGAAGGAACCTGTTTCCGGATCCTTATAGCACAATGACTCTGCAGACTTGGTGGAAAATAGGAGCATTTCGCCGTGATGCCAGACGGCCGCCGACGCCTTCCTGCACATCCGCGAGATGATCCGAGAGGCCGCGCGTTCTGCGCCGGGCGCTGTGCGACGTTCGCCCGGACGGCACGTTCTGCTGCGCGGAACGTGCGCCGGGCAGAAGAGCCTGGTCCACTGAGAACGGCGTTTGAAGATCTTCAATGGGAACGCCTTTGATCCGCTGGACCTTGCGCGTACCGTTTGTGCGCACCTTGGCGACCTCACAATCCGCTGGAGATGCGTTTGTGCGTGGACCGGATTTGTCGAGGAGGATCGAAAGAGAAGAAAAAGAGACCTCAAAGCAGCTCGCTGGACCATCCTGGACCTGGGTGTCCAGGACAGGGAGATCCCTGAGGCCGTAGTGCAGGGTAGTCCAGCCAGGACACCCAGGTCCAGGATGGTCCTGGTGCTTTTATCAGCAGCACCCAGTTCGGATGGTTTATAAAACCCCCCCTACCCATGTGCTGGTCACCATCCAATCACCATCCAAGCGATCCGTGATCCGTGTGGCGGTCGATCCGTGTGGCTTTGTTGGTCCGGATCAGAGACCGGTGGACCGGTACATAGCACGAGCGATCAGGAGCGATCACGAGCCTCATGAGTCAAAGGACAAAGAAGATCAAATAGTAAGGGCTCCGCCCTGGATGTGGGTGTCCTTTTTCGTCCTGGATACCCAGGTCCAGGATGGTCCAGGATGGTGCAGGTAAGTATATGATTATATTTCATATACCAGCATCTTCCAAGGGGTATCTATACATAACCTCGATTCGGGCGTGTCCAAAAACCACCCGAGGCTTTGAAAGATCGACACTCCGTCTGCTCGGTGCTCGGAGTGCGCTGAGCGCGCCACACATTCGTTTTGGGGCCCGGGTCCTGAGCCACATATACCTGGACCATCCTGGACCTGGGTGCAGGGTAGTCCAGCCAGGACACCCAGGTCCAGAATGGTCCTGGTGGCCATGTGAATCTCACACGAACTGGTCAAAGCTTCTGAACTTCCATCTTCCGACCACACAAAAGGCGAACGTCCATCCAGATCGTCCAGGCGGCCGCGGTATGGTCTGGGAGATCTCTCAAAAGGTCCGGTCCTCCTCGGACCCCCAAATTCGAGTCGAAGACGTCGTGCACATGGCATTGCAAACACCGCCTTCCACGGTGCTGGTTTCTTGAGCACCATCGGGCCGTAGGCCGTCCTTGCGCGTTTTGTTTGATTTCGGTTGCCGAAAGCTTCGCAGGATGTGTTCCGAACCTGGAACATTTAACATCAATACCTATAGCATGCATTAGCATGCTATGGTCCAATATATGCAATGTAATCCGTGATTTGGACAGTCATGCTTCTTTCATCCTGTCAGTGGCCAATGCTTCTTCAAGTACGGAAAGCACCGGAAAGCACGTGCTGTAGCCGAAAGCTTCTTGGCTTTGCGCCTGTCGCAGGCAGTAAACAATCCAAAATACCGGCTTCCACGTGGAAGACTTTCTGTTTTCGACTGCTTTTCGAGCGAAGCCGAGTAAGTCAGCCTTTGTCCGCGCAGTCTTCGGGCAAGTCTTCGGAAGATGGCGCCACAGAGGCGGGGCCGGCGTGCGGGCGGTGGTGCGGGCTGATGTTGAGGAGACGACTTAGATGCACCGGGCGTGTGATTTCACTGCAATTGAGGGTATTGAACTTTTGGGCTGATGGTGAGAGGATTGAAAGGTTTTTTTCTGCGTGGAAACTCGTCCTACAAGAATTCTATTTTTGGTGCATGGAAGCACGTTTGGACAAAGAACGCCGGGCCCACTACATGTTTGTGCGCAAATTCTAGGCAATGTTGTGCCAAGAACATGTTTTTTCTATGTCTTTGTTTTTTTCGTTTTGCTGCCAAGTGGGTTTGCACAAAGTAATTTTTGTGATTACATTTTCTACACAACCCAAGCGCTGGTGGGCGTTTGACACGTCCTTGTGTTCAAGTCCGTAGGACCCAAAGTGCCCCTTGGTCAGCTTGGAGGCCGTTGGTCTGACTCTACAAGTTCTAGTTCTTTGGCAGGCGCAGCTGGTGCTGGTGTCACACCCTCATCAACTGCCATATTTGTCTTTGCGACTTGGAGGCACAATTGAATCATGGTGGAACATGGTGCAACACCGTTGGTCCCTATTGCTAGTTGCAGTTGCTGTTCAGTCCGTGTGAAAGGTATGGCGCTATTCATTAGTTGAGAATTGCACCCGAAGCACTGGGCCATGAAGACGTTTGTTTGCACCATACTTCACCTTGAAGGAATTGGTTCCATGAATCATTTTCCAAAAGATACCCGAAGACGGGCTGTTACTGGGAACAGGTTTTCAAGGGCCACAGGCTGGGTTTCAAAGATAGAGTTGACTTTAATGCTATGGCGTATCATGTGAAGAACATCCACGCGGTCTTTAAACCTTTCAACGGGAAGCAACAATTTAAGACCGCGTGTGGAGTGAAAGCAGCAACACAGTAGGAACAACAACTATTCGACTTGTTTGACTTGAAACAACTTAGAATACATCATGTCATACTCATACAAGGAAGAAGAAGCTACGGTCGGGGCTCCTGGCATCGCTACTAGGAGCAAGGACGCTACGGTCGGGGCTCCTGGCCGTACTGCTAGGAACAAGCAGCTACTAGTAACAGAGGGCATGTCACATATCATTTTTCAGCCCTTGCACCCTACGCGATCGACACGCTTGGGCAGCACCATTCGATGAAATCTGGGTGCTTCAGGTGGCCCCATCCCTGGAAATCTGTGTCACACTTGATCCATTTTGCTGATATGTTCCATCTGTCGGGTCTCAGCTTCGGAGGTATAGTGTCACAGTTGACCCCAAACTTTCACACATGTTCCGGTTCAAGATCACCAAACACCGTCAACTTGGGTGCAACCACGCACTGCCAAACCCAACCAATAATCTTAAAGCATCTTTTAAAGAATTACAAAGACAACCCAAAAACACATCTATACCCAGTTTTCCACTGAACATGTTTGAACAAAACCTTCCAAGAACACATGCCACCATCATATATGTTCCCAACGCGCCCGCCCGCGCTGCCGTTGTGCCCCCGCGCCGCTGCGCCGCCCAGGATGGCTGCGGCCGCTGGCTTCCGAAAGGTGGCCGTGGCGGATCCCAGGTGGAATGGTCCGGTCGACATGGTTTTTGGGTGAAAGGTAGAGGGTTCATGAGGGTTCATGAGGGTTCATGAGGGTTCTGTTCTTGCTTTGACCATAGGTTTCAATTCATCGCCTGTTTTGCTCAGACGCGAATTAGGGCGATCCCTCCATCTCAGGGAGTCCATTTGAGTGCATGAAGATCCACTACCCAATCGGTTTCTAGGTCCGGTCCCATCCAATCTTGTACCCTGATACTGGAGGTCCTATCTGTACATCTCCTCATGTGGAAATAGGGTCCGAGGCGCGCGGTGGCCGCGCGGTCCCTAAGGGAATGTCGGTCCGCGAAGACGAATTCGGTTCGGTCAAGCGAAGTCACCCGACTTGTCCCAAGAAGCCTTTCAGACCCAGGTGCACTTCAACCGAGGGAGATGATTCTCGTTAGGTGAGGTGGTGCACATCGACGTGCAATGTATTTTGTGCAACACTAGTTGTAACACTTGTTGAAATAGTACTGCGGCTCTTTTTTTGAGTGCGGTGTTTGCAGTGTTTTGTGGGGTGTGGAGTGTGAAATTCACATCCCCTTACAGCACCCCTTCTGTTCTTTTTTGGTGTATGACCTTCAACCGTTTGCCCATGGTCACAAACAACCATTCCGGATATTGCTGGTTCGGACCCAGGTGCATTGGATGTTTGATGTTTTCTTTTCGATGTTGACACGCGCCATCTTCCAAACATGTATGAAACGTCCATGCTAGGAAAGAAGCACGCACCTACACAGAAGCACCTGATACCAGGTAGTTTAAGGTTGTTCGTAGAAGAGATTGTTGTGGATGGACTTCATAGCGTGGGGCAAGCAGACATTAGCATGGTACGTAGGATAACGCTTATGGCTATGGTTTCGTGAACCCCTTCAATGTAGAACATTAAATACAACATCCGGTTTCCTTCTCACCAACATTCAACTTTCAGGAAGCAGAAGTCATGTCACATGTCCAAACCCCCGACATGTCTTCGGGTTGGATACCCAAGAAGTTTCCGCTATATCTGCTGGATCAACCACTTTCCCCACCGGTCAAACCCAGAATCCATGCAGAAGTCTGGACGTCCGCCAACCTCCGTGCGAGCGTCGAGCCAGGCTCTTTGAAGGGATCCCCTGGCGAACCTTCGGCATGGGCGCCCGAACACACCAGTGGAGTGGAAAGGGCCAAACGATCACCGGGCCTGGCGTCCGGCATCTCGGGTTGACCTTGGTCTTCGTCGTGGCTTTTTCCGTTGAACATGGCCATTTTGTCGTGGCATGGTCAAGGGCCTCCCGTCGGAAGATGAAGGTGGAGTCCGTGGATTCGACGAACAAAACCTTCCCGTGGACCGTGGATCTTTGGGATTTCGCTTTGGGATGAGCAGCTTCATACAGAGATGAAGCTGATCAGTGATCTGACCTGAACGCGGGTTCTGACATGTGTTTGTCTGCGCTGAATCAGATCGATCGAAGCAGTTCAAACTTCCCTTAGCCGAGGTTACTTACTTACCGGAATGGTGAACGCTGTCCAATGCACTCCTTCTCTCGCAACCAGTTTCGGAGATTCAAGGTGGTGGCAGGTAGGACAGGAAGGACAGGACACTGCCTGAAGAGCACTTGTTTTCTTACATCCAAGATTGCATGGAGATGTTCCTCGTTCGCATTTGAAGATGTTCCTCGTTTGGACGTCCCACCTCGCGCATTCGGTCGCGTCGGTCCTGTCCGAGGCTGTACAGACTTGGGCTACAGCCGCGGCACCAATGCGAGCCATGCCTTAGCTCAAGAGGTGGATCCACCCCGCGAATCGATTTGAAGAACTGAAGAACTGGAGGCACTATCATATCTTATACGGCTATAAAAATAGGGAGCCCTCCCAGTTCGACCCCTAAAAAGAAACATGTAGACCAAAACCACCCATTGCACCAGAGGGTGTCTCCCCCAGATATTGACAAGTCGATCCTTTCGAACATGGGGTTTCGCTTGGCATCTCGTCCCTCAGGGTTTGAGCCTCAACATGTCCGACGATGGTTTAAGGGGCCAGGGGGCGGCCACTGAAGAGCCAGCGTCTGAAGCTCTTGGGTCTCAAGGGCCATGATCCAGTACGGATCCAGTACGGTTCCATGTCCGCATATACCACAAGAAGCATGCCACTCGATGGATTCCTTTGCATGTGCACCTGGGTGGCTTCCGGAGGAGACTAACTTTTTAGTCCTAAGTAACTATATGGTCATCCCTTCAGGGTGAACTCGTTGGCGCAAGTGTTTGGTCATCCCTCAACTTTAAGCCTTTCTACTCCAACGAGCTCCGAGATCCGATGGAAACCGAATCCTTCACAGATCCACGAGAAGGCTCCAGGAGGTTCAGGTGACTCGGCCAGCTGGCAGGTCCTTCAGACCCCCCCGCGGTTTTCGTGTGGCAGGCGGTGCGCTTGGAGTCTTATGTGACGCAGTGAGCCGGCCACGTCTTGATCGGACGCGGTGTGTCGGGGCTGGGAGGGCCTGGGGATTTGAGAATGCATTGAAACATATTGAAACCACATATTGAAACCATCTCTATCTCATTTATATATCTCATCAGTTCTTGTTCCTTGAATCATTGAAAGATGTTTGCAATTCATTCATCACATCGATACCAAGAAACCACAAAACAAACAGACTGCGGGGTCGATCAGTCGATCGGGGTCGATCAGTCGACGATGTCGTCCATGCCTTCGCCCATTGGACGTCCATGTCTTCGCTGAAGGTTCGCAGCGGTCCTGTGTGGTTTTCTGCAGGAACTGCATGCAGCGCTCTCATGTTGGAGGTAGTAGAGGCAACTCACGCGCATGTTTTCTGTGCCAGGAAAGGTACCAATTCCATCCAATTCCGGCAGTTCACCTTCCCTGCAGAACACACCATGGCATGCCAGGTGTTGAGTTTACGAGTTTAGTTTAGGCTTCCCGAACGAAACACCGATGGATGCTTTACGTGCTTCCGCGACTCACGCCAGGTTGAGGGAAACAGAGCCACAGAGGTGCAGAGATTCACTCTCCTCTGCGCGGTGGGCCGGTGGCGTGTTCTGCTGAACGCGGCTGGAGCAAATACCATTGGAACAGCAAAATGAAAGGGCCATGAACATCCAGCCACTGGTCACGTTGTAGTGGTGAAGCTTTGGTTGGTTGCATGAGTGACGGACAATACCCCTGGGCTAGGATGGTCAGGGGAGATAGCACCCCTCCTTTTTCCTAGCCAGGAAAGGCCGCTCCCAACCATAGATTTTGTCAAATCCTCACATGATTCATGATGGGTTGACTGTTTTTTGACCAACATGAGCGCTTCATGATGGGTTGACTGGTCCTGTTGACCACCATGAGCCACAAGGCACCCCCATTTTTTCACAGCAAGGTGCTTTCTTTGGGCCTTTTAATATGAGTACAACCCTCAAAGGGCGGTGCTTTAGCTGTGCCGCTGCCTTGCCCATACTGGCAGGGTAGATCTACGTACTGCCAGTGGTCAGACCAAGGGCAGGAGGTACGTTTTCAGCCACGCAGCCACTGGTGAAGACAAGATTAAGATATCCCTGGGTTTGCTTTGTCTCAACATGACCATCCAAGCTCTTGAAATCAAAATCAACACAGCCCAAGAAAAATGGAGGACCAAGTGGTTGAGGCTCGTGCTCCAGGCTGGAACGTTTGCAGCCCTTGTTGCAGAAGGTCAATGCCACCTTAGCCTTTCATCGCTGCGTCGTACAGGCGCCACCGCGGTACAGCCACGCTCCGTGGTCGTTGGGTCGTTGGGTCCGGTCCGCTCGCAAACCGGATTGGCTTCGACTCTCTCCCCAGTCCCGCTCCCATGACAAGTATGGGTTAAACATGGTTAAACAGTTAAACAAACTAGAAGTTCTACACATCCAGAGCTTTATGCAGCTTCATGCACGTTGACCCAGTTCTTCCAAATCTGCCATTAAAAAGGGAAGATTGCGACCGGTCGCCCGTCGCCCTAGCGCCACGATTTGGGAGTTGGGAGTCAGTTGTTTTCCTGTTTATAAGTATTTGTTCCTAGTAGCTTCCTTGCTCTTAGTAGCGATGCCCTTTGTTCCTAGCTTCTTGCTCCTACGTAGTACAGGAGCCCCTAGTAGCGAACCTTGTTATTCAACAAAGTGAGTCGTTTTTCAGAATCACCCACTGACCGGTCTGACCATCCAGCGTAGCTTTTTGGTGCGGAGAGGATCGATCGTGCGGGCGGGGGTTCTGGGAGGTGATACCTGAGAGGTGATACCTGGGGTTGGGTCGTGTGCACATGTGTATATGTGTACATAGTGGTGTACACCAAGCGACCAGCAACAAAAATGGTACACCTGCAATCTACTCCTGGCCCAGGACGTTCTTTTCTGGAGCAGCTCGTTCGGAGCGTTTCTCGATTTCCGCCAGGCGGGCACTGCAAAGAATTGTGGAGCCTGAGGCAGAACTGTGGGATTCGTCCAAGGGATGGTTCATTCTTGTTTGGAATACGTCTTTGTGATCATCCAGAGAACGCAGGCAATTAAGCCACCTAAGTGTTGGGCAACCAATCTGGAGCCACATTGGACATTCTATAGTGACTTAGTGAGAGAGCCGTCGATGTGTGCATGGACAACTTGCCGAGTTTGGACTTCTCCTTTCTCCATCTTCGCCTACACAGCCTCGTGACACTCTGTGTGGGGGGGGCTAGTCTTAGTGAGACTTCTTTCCACACTTTAACTTCTTTTTTGAAAACTTATAGGCCCGGGTCAATAGGAATCCTTTGGTTTGATTGCAGGCACCACTTGCTGCAAACCCGAAAAAAGGGCCGCACGAACCCTAGATGCGCAGTAGTAGCCAGGTGTATGAGGAACCTTCTCCTTTGGACCTTGTGATCAGTTCAATCGAACACCACTGCCTGACGCCAGCTTTCCAGGGCCACTGTGGGGTGGCAGTGGTTTGTACTCATTCTTGAGGTCTGAAAGCGACGCCATTCGTTTGATACGGCCGCTTTTCTGTGCCATACCGCCCTACCCAACAAAAGAGCTACCTGGTAGCCAGGGAAGTTGTCCCAAAACGAGCACTTGTTTTGGAGAGAACCTGACAGATCAGTTGGACGTCATTGTACAATTGGACCTCATATTGGACTCCGTTTCACGTCCCTACGTGTTACCTGATCAGGTGATTGAGAGATCAGGTGTTGGATGGTGGAAGGACATGAAACACGACGGAGGATCCAGGTTTCGGTATTCAGGACCGACCAGGACCAACAGCTGGTGTTCTGGACCAACAGCTAGCGGACCTCATCGATTTCTTTCTCCCAGGCGACGAGTATGAAAGACGGTCCAAGATCGGATCGGGTGCGGATCTGGCGGCTCTGCTCGATCTGTTCTCGAACGCCGCCAGGGCCTATGGTGCCGATCACGCGCAGCTTGTGAGGGCAGAGAGCAATGGAGAAAGACCATGTGAAAATGAGACACGTGGATGACGGCACGTGGAAGGGGGGAGATTGCAGGGCGAAGCTAGTTTCAAGTTCTATAGATTGGTGATTTGGTGGACCCTTTTTTCTTTTGATCTTTAAGGACGGATGTCAAAGTTGTTGATCATGTTCCACAGTGTGTTTCTCTTCCCCAAAGTCTTTCCCTAGACTCCTAGACCATACTAGATCTTTTGCGAAGGAACAACACCCTTCCCTTGGAACCTCTCCCAGAATCGAATTTCAGTGACCACAGAAACCAGTCCCAAGGGTTCTGATCGTCGCCCACCAGTCTGACTGCTCTGATCTCTTTGAGTATTAAGCGACCAGCGAAACAACATGTTTGCTGCAAAGCAAATCTATGTTTTCGTAAGTCCAAGAATGAGTCAGTTCTCCATCACTCTCAATCTACTTCACTATTGATTGCCATCCTGGATGAAGGGGACTTCCCCATAATGCCAACATCGGATTCATCCCGCCCCCCTTCAAGGTCAACAAGGTCAACAAGGCTTGAGATTGGAGGTATTGGAGACCACATCCCGCTAATAAAGTGACCTGATGATGGATGATGGTTGATAGGATTCTGTGTGAACACTGAGGCCCGTGAGAGCGGTACCCTGTGTGAGCTAGAAAACGTTAAGAATTTGATAGAGTTGTGAGGTTTCTGGCCAGGAAAAGACATATTAGGGGGATGTCAAGGTGGACATATAGGTGTTAAATTAGTTTAGTATTGGGGGCTCGAGCTGGGCTTGATTTATAGAGGGAGGTTACTTGTTTCTGTGTGCACATTATAGATGAAAACAAATCCAATTCAAACATGTAAAGCCCTCATGTAAACCAGGAATCTCGGAAGTAGATGTGTATAATTATACATAACCACACCATGGGTAATAGATCTTATGATGTTAGTTTTCTCCAGCAGAACCAACGCGGCTTTGGAGCCGAAGTTTCGGCTCAAGCCGCGCCAAAGCTTTGCGCGGTAAACGAGACGCAAGCCGGTGGCGCCGGTGGGGTGTGCGGTGTGGGATGTTGGACATGAAAGGGCAAAGAAGGAGTACTGTATAAGAAAATTTTTGACAGACTAAGATGGTGTTATGGTTTTGGGGTTGAGGAATTAGATTCTTACGTATTAATTAGATCGTTGGGTAAACATGTTATTCCTCATACACTAAACGGTCATGTATGGTTTTATCTAGTCTTGGTGACACCTCCACAGACACATTGTGCACCTCCAAACGACGTGGTGTTTTTTCCTGAGCTTTTGCAGGGCCAAGACGGTCTCTGCTTGTATTTCTAGCACGTCCATGGCCTTATTGGGCTTGATGCCCCAGGACCCTCCGACCATCGGACGACAGAGATTCCACGATTCCACCGTCATTTGAACAAGGTATACTTTGGGTTGGTCCGTCTTTACCTGTAACAGTCAGTAAAAAAGCAGATTAATTATATACTATTTTTGAACAAGGCCTGCAACCTGACCATCATCATCCATTGTTACAGGTATTAGGATAGACCCAAGGTATACTGTTGATAGGCACAAGGCGCTATTTTTCAAAGCGGTTTCGTCAGAGTCTCAGAGGTTGGGACGATCATCGTGGCGCCACGATTGCTTTTTCATCGGTGGTAGCCCTAGGGCTCGTCCTTTTTCTCACTCCCTAGGGCTCCTGGCCCATATCCTCAGGTTCGGTGGTTGGACCCCCCTGGCACCCACCCCTGGCCCATCTTGGGACAGGAGCCCTAGGGACTATATAGAATCTGTAAAGCTGCAATATTCCACTTGTCACTGGGTTGAAGCCTCCATCTATTGACGAGGGCCGGGACGCATTTGGGAAATTCATTTTTGTTGGTCCATTATTCCGCAAATACGACTGAACTATCCTCGAGACTAAGACCAAAACAACTACGTAGTTCCTTCAAGGTGTCCCGCAAACTCTAACAGCCCCTTGATCTCACTTCCAGCGCTGACATTTTCGCGCGTTGCGGGCTTTGGGCTCAGGAGCCTCTCTCCTCCCTCCGGGAGTATCGCTCAGGCCTGTCCCGCAGGCGCGGCGCGCTCGAGCCGGCTGCGGCTTGCTGGGATCCAGAAACAGTTTTATGGCCACAAGTCTTGCGGAAAGACTCATGGCTTTTCGGCTGATGTGTTTGGAAATGAGACCAAGTTCTGTATCTTCACTTAAATGGTTGCCTGCAGTGTGGTGGAGAATCATTTTGAGCCCCACTGTAATTACCCAGCAATTACGCCAGTGAACTTTGTATCACGTTGGCGAAGTGGAAGGCGTACACTTACATAAAGAACACTTCAGAGGATAAATTTGTACTATGCGGTTCAGGTGTGCATGGCCAAAACAAGGGGTCTGTATAGTTTCGAGTTATCTTTTTGGTTTGGTGGCTGCCTGGGCTCTTTTCCACACTCGGACGGACCAAAACTCTTCTGGTGGCTACTTTGGTCGACACTGTCATATCAAAGCTATCTGGGAATCTTTGGCAAGGATCAAGGATCAAGACTTGGGTGAAGAGGCAGAATCCTATCACCCCACCATGTGAATCGTAAAACCAGACGGCAAGAGATACACACCCTGGTGTTGGGTCTTCCATCCCTCAGGTCCACCTCCCTGGGCGCCGTGCGCGGTGTGCACGCTGAACGCGAGAGCCGCCCGGGGCGATAGCTTCGGTGATCGGACGGTGAGGAGGGTGAGGAGGGTGAAGACGGTTCGCGCAAGCGAAGGACATGGCTTGATCGGACGGAGATCGTCTAAGTGGGACGGAGATCGTGGGACATGAGACATTGGCAGGCTACTTGGATCCTATATAAACTCATTTCGTTGTTTTCGTTCGATTTGTTTTGGGTTACCAGGCCTTTTTGATGGGAAACCGGAAGAGGATGGATGTCCTTTTTTGGGATGCATTTGGCTTGTGGTGGGTTTTGACGACAGCTGTCACCGATTGCATCAACAATCTTCAAATCGTATAAAGTAGCCACTTCAACAAGTCCTTCCTCCACACACCCTGTCCCCAACGGTGTGAGAATCCCTCTCGCACCCGATTTCGGAACCATCGAAAGAATATTATGAACATAATGCAAACTTCCATCAAGAACTGCCAAAGAATGAGTCTCCTTGTGTGTGCTTGACAGCTCGATCCCTGGGTTGTGTTCCATCCATTTGCATTTTGGCTTTCACCCCGCCCCAGGCGACGCCCTGGTGCCCCGGGCGGAGTCGCCCTTGGCGCGGCGGCCCTTCGAGGCCGAGCGGCAACGCGCCCGGAGCCTCGCAGGCGGCGGGTCGGCCGGAGCGAGGGTCGGTGGGGAACCAGGTCCGACGGAATCGCCTTTAGCACACATGTAGTATGTAGTTGGTGCGGCGCATCAGTGCCGTGGAACACGCGTGCGCAAAGCGCAAGCGCCTGCAACCAAACACCTGCAGAAACGGCCCTCCCTTGCCTTCTCCCTTGCCGTCTCAATCCAGAGCATGGCAGGTGCACGAGAGGTGCCCAGCCGAAGCATGGCAGGTACATCCAGAGAGTGGGAAGCAGTGCGGTCTCTGGGTCTTCCTATCCCACACTGTGCACGTGATGCATAAGTTCCTGATGGTTGCTGTTTCTTTTGTACCAGTGGCATGTAAGGAGGATACATGATACGTGTAGCTTGTTCTACAGTCAGATACTGCACTCAGAAGTCCGGTTGGGATGCCAAGATGGACAAATCTCTTTGAATTATGCCTTTCAGCAATTCATCATTGTAAGGTTGTTTTGGGGGTGAAAGTAGATGATACAGCGAACCAAGCACCAAAGAACTATACACCTACACCCTCAATCACACTGTATGAACGTTTCTTGTGGTTTCTTTTCTTTGCAATGTTTAATAGATCTTTTTATTCTATTTGGACTATCTGGACAATTTATCAAATGATCAAACTTGATTAAACACAAAAAGTTCCAGACCAGACCTGGTTCCGACTTCCATGCCATTTTGAGGTTTTTACAAGTT